GTGGTGCAGAATTTAACTGGAATGCCTTCAGAGGAGGGCAACAAAGATGATAAAAAGGCAGGAGACACTCCTATGAAGAGTGTCTCTGGGTTTGTCTGGTTTGGAGAAAAGGGGGCTGAGGGGCAACCTCATCACCCTTGACAGCTTCCTAAGGAGGGGAATTGGAGAGGGAGGTGTTGATCTTCTCTCCCTGGGATCCAGGGACAGAACACGTGGGACTGGTTCAAAGCTGTGGCAGGGAAGGTTTAGACTGGACACTAGGAAGCATTTCTTTAGCAAGAGAGTGGTAACACACCGGCACAGCCTCCTAAAGAGATGGTTGATACTCAAAGCTTGCCAGCATTTAAGAGGCATTTGGTGCCTTAATGCTTTTGATAACATGCTTATACTTTTAGTCAGCCCTGAAGTGATCAGGCAATTGGACTAGATGATAGTTGTAGGTCCCTTCCAATTCAACACAGATATTCTAGTCTAGCCTAGTCTAGTCTATCCTAGGCCACTCTACCCTACTCCGCTCCATTCCATCCCATTCTATCCCACCATCATGAGAAAGTTCCTTCTTGTACAAACATGAAGGTGTGTGACCTCCCCATGTCTTTGGTGCCATTCATCTAGCTAATGTTTCTCTGGTGCTCAAGAATCTGCCATGTTCATGGCATGCAGAAAGAGAACTAACAGTTCCCTTGAGACTCGGCAAATACATTAACCACCTTGGTGATGCTCAGTTTGGAAAAAGTTAGATTTTAACCTGCATACAGGATCCCTTTAAGCCTGCTCCAAACCATTATTAAGGCTGCATGGAGACCTCAGAGCAGCCTTCCAGTATCTGAAGGGGGCCTATAGGGATGCTGGGGAGGGACTCTTGTAGTGATAGGACAAGGGGTAACGGGTTAAAACTGAAACGGGAAGTTTAGATTGGATATAAGGAAGAAGTTATTTACTGTAAGGGTGGTGAGGCACTGGAATGGGTTGCCCAGGGAGGTTGTGAATGCTCCATCCCTGGCAGTGTTCAAGGCCAGGCTGGACGAAGCCTTTGGTGCCATGGTTTAGTGTGAGGTGTCCCTGCCCATGGCAGGGACTTGGAACAGGATGATCTTAAGGTCCTTTCCAACCCTAACTATTCTATGATTCTGTGATTCTATGATTCTATTGTCATTATTATTTTCATTTAGGCTTGACAACATGTATTATCACAAGAGTTCCAGAAAGGACCATAATGCAGGTTTGGTCAAATTCACCCTGATACAAGGAGAGGGAGAGCAGACTACAGAGAATAACAACGTGGGATATGTGACAGAAGAATGGGATATCAGGTAGATAGCAAATCATAATTTGATGTTTATCTTTTTAGCAGTTAAGATCTTGTATTGTGAAAAGTTGGATTGCAAAACATGAAAGCAAAGAGCTGCAATACTGTCGATGCCCAACTTTAAGGGGAGTACCAGCAAATAAGACAAGTAGCTTTGTCTTCAGATTACTGGAGCAGCTTATACCAAATGTATTGTTTCATTGTGAACACTGGCTGATACAATAGCAATTATTACTGTTATCAGCGTCTGTATCAGAGTATGTGTACAGGCTGATACAACAGTAATGCCATGAGTGCCACACAACCCATGTAACAATCAGTTCCTTCTCTGCAGAGGTTACGTGGCTTATTCTTAAGTAATTAAAGCTTCAGTTATCCAGGGGGTTGACATACATCCATTAACAGCCTGGCTACCAATTTAGGTGCTTGAGGGTCTTCAAACCTAAAGCTTCAGTTAAGCTGTTGTCTTTCTTCTGGAATCAGCACATTCCCTGTGCTGTTCAATACCTCTCACTAACATTCCCAAACACCAGTTCCTGAATCATGTACAGAAGTTGTTTTCAGGTTGTTTTAACATTACTGGTGGCAGTCTAAGGGCACACACATCTTTCATCCAGTCAAGAAGCAAACTGGGGGCAGTTGAGTGGTTGGGTGCTTTAATGTAATGAAAATCTCAGGGGAAAAAGTTTTTCTCATACTGATCCAGTGGTAGCTGCAGCTTTACAACAAAAATGACATGAAAATAAGGTAATTTTCCATATAGGACAAAGGCTTTAACCTGCCAGAGGGGAAACTGAGATGAGCTCTTAGGCAGAAGCTCTTCCCTGTGAGGGTGCTGAGGCGCTGGCACAGGGTGCCCAGAGAAGCTGTGGCTGCCCCATCCCTGGCAGTGTTCAAGGCCAGGTTGGACACAGGGGCTTGGAGCAAGATGCTCCAGTGGAAGGTGTCCCTGCCCATGGTAGGGGTTGGAACTGGATGAGCTTGAAGGTCCCTTCCAAGTCAAACCAGGCTGGGGTTCTATGATGTTGTTGAAGCTTTTTAACTTTGTGCAGGATTTTAGGGTCAGAGGAAGCAGCTAACAAGGTATGACCATAGGACAAAGAGGGGCTGGAGTTTTCCTCCTTTTCTGCAGAATATTCAATATTAAATATTCAGTGTGGAAGGAAGATAAAGGGAACAAGTTCTGCTGTGCTCCTGAAGGTGTGTCCTGAAGAGGGCTTAACTCCAGTGTTACAAAAACATATTCTGTAAGAAGAACCAAACATAGAATTACAAAGCCATAGAATGGTTTGGGTTGGAAAGGGCCTTAAGAACATCTAGGTCCAACCCCCTGACTTGAAGGACAACAAAGCCCAGGACAAAAAGGAAAAGCTGCTTTCTAACTGCCTACTATGACAGTGGAGAAGCAAAGAAACAGATCAATCATAATGGTTATTAAACTTCTTTTTAAGGCATCTTGTTGCAGTGGGTATCATTGGGAGCTGGGCTTTGATTTAATTTTAGCCTTTTCACATGTTATTATAAAGGAAAAGAGCCATAAACACTATTTCAACAACTGAACTGTGCCAATGATGTGAGATTTTTCCTGGTTCTTTGGATCAGCATTTCTAACTTGCAATACAGACTGCAGAACTATTCGCAAGTGAGAACTTTCCTACCCCAAGCAGACTCAAAAGCAAAACAGCACCGAGGAAATAAGCTGCAAGTAGATGTGTGAGAAATGTCACAGATATATAGGAATTAATTCTAAAGAAATACTACAAACCATCACAGAACAGTCACTCAGACAAATAAATCTCAGCTTTGAAAAAAGCTTTTTTGAAAAAAATAAATCTATGCTTTGAAAACTCTTACTTGTATGCTCCTCCATTGGGGTTGATGCTGACGTGTGGTTGAATGTGTGGTTTTCCATGGAATAAAGAAATTATAGAATCATAGAACAGTTTGGGTTAGAAAGGACCTTAAGATCATCCAGTTCCAACCCCCTGCCATGGGCAGGGACACCTCACACTAAACCATGTCACCCAAGGCTCTGTCCATCCTAGCCTTGAATACTGCCAGGGATGGAGCATTCACAACTTCCCTGGGCAACCCATTCCAGTGTCTCACCATCATCACAGTAAAGAACTTCTTCCTTATATCCAACCTGAACTTCCTCTGTTTCAGTTTGAACCCATCACCCATTGTCCTATCACTACAGTCCCTAATGAAGAGTCCCTCCCCAGCATTCTTCTAGGCCCCCTTCAGACACTGGAAGCTGCTCTGAGGTCTCCAGGCAGCCTTCTCTTCTCCAGGCTGAACAGCCCCAGTGTTCTCAGCCTATCTTCATATGGGAGGTGCTCCAGTTCCCTGATCATTCTCGTGGCCTCCTCTGGATTTGTTCCAACAGTTCCATGTCCTTTTTATGTTGAGGACACCAGAACTGTACACAATGCATGAAGTGAGGTCTCACGAGAGCAAGACTTTGTGGTCTGTTTTGACAAAAGAAAATGATGTGAATGCTATGGCTGTTCAGAAAGAGAAGAAAAGCTGACACAAGGGTTGTTTTACAATCAACACTCATTTCCCTGAGTCCCAAGTCAATAATTTACATACGAATTTTACCACCAAGAAGAGGGCAGGGCATGGGGAAGAAAAAGCAGTTTCACAACCTGCCATCAGAACTTGGCATCACATTTTATGTGTTCATCCCAGACTTAGCCAAGGCAACGGAAGCATCAGGCTCTGGGAAGAGGATTAGGTTTCATGAGGGAGGGCACTATGGAGGCCTCCTCCTCACTGACCTCTTCCTGCTGTGAGTGCTGGAGAACTGGAAATACTGGAATATGGGTTTTAATCAGGTTCTACATATAATGTTGAGATCTTAGCTGATGTGTTAAGCAGGACAAGGGAGCAAGAGCAGCTCTACTCTGCTCTGTGAGATCCCCGCTGCAGTCCTGCATCCAACTCTAGGGCAGCAACACAAGAGGGTCATGGAGCTGTTGGAGCAAGTGCAGAGGAGGCCATGAAGATGCTGCGAGGGCTGCAGCAGCTCTGCTCTGGAGCCAGGCTGAGAGAACTGGGCTGGGTCAGCCTGGAGAAGAGAAGGCTCCTGAAGGGGAGACCTTAGAGCAGCTCCATTGCCTAAAAGGGCTGCAGGAAACCTGGAGAGGGGCTTGGGACAAGGGCCCGTAGGGACAGGCCAAGGGGAATGGCTTGAACCTGCCCGAGGGGAGACTGACATTCAGTTATTTGCATAGGGTTTGTTTGTTTTTTAAATTAAGCATAAGAATGTGCATAATTCGTGTTTCTTTCCAGAGGGGCTCATGGACCGTAACATCCAAACTAAGCTGCAGTATGGTATCATTTTCATGGTTGACAGCAAGTTAATCAGAGGGGTATTTTAAGTGAGGTTTTCCTTGTCAGGAGCCTGGTAACCCTGTGTTGGGAATAGAATGAGCAACCCCTCAATGGTCGGATACCCCTACCTGTAGTAGCTGCTACTCTTTGAAACCTGGGGTTGTGCTGCAGCAGTGAAGGAGGGGTTTGGTGGCGCGGGGGCGGGGGGCGCAGGCGGGGATGCTGCAGGGGCTCTGCCCGCAGCCCTTCTTTTTTCCCGGAATACCGGGATGGGGCGGGAAGAAGGTGGAGGCCGGGCGTGCCCCACCATTATATGGATAGGGAGCGGGAGGGGAGGAGGAAAAGAGGAAGGATGGCGCTGCCCGAGGACCCCGCTGCGGCCCCGGCGTTGCGGCGCTTCACCTGGGAGGAGATCGGGGAGCGGAACGGCCGCGGGCCGGGGCAGAAGGAGCGATGGCTGGTGATCGAGAGGAAGGTGTACGACATCAGCCACTTCTGCCGGAGGCACCCGGGAGGAGCCCGTCTCATCTGTAGCCACGCCGGGCAGGACGCCACGGTGAGGGCCGCGCTCGGAGATGCGGGGCAGAAGGCGCCGGTACCCGGCCGGCACCGTGGGAGGTGACTCCGGTGGGATTTAGGGCATGGAGCAGGGTCTAGGGGTATGCAGTGTCGCTTTGTACCCCTAGACTTTGAAGTGCAAGCTTCCCAGGCTCATCCTATGGGAAATAGCAAATGAAGAGGCTTTGCAGTGGTACTGTAGCTGTTTATCCAGCTCAAGCCTTCAGGATTACTCTTTATCTCCTGATCTTGCTTCTGCACCTACTGTGAATTCCAGGGATCGCTTACAAAGCTGCCACAAGCAGAGCATCAGCCCTGTGGCAAAAGTAGCTGCTTCCAGAAACATTCCTTTAGGGAAAGCATCCCTCCAAAATGCCACCTGGCTTAACGTGGAGGGAAATCAAAGACATGCTTTCCCAAGCAGAATTCCAGAGGAGTTTCTGTAGACACGGTATGTGGTCCTTCTGAGCCTGGAGATGAGCAAAATCAAAAGGATTGGCCAGTTACAAGTGTCCAGCTGCTGGGGAGTCAGTGCATGGGGGAAAGGACTTCTGCTCATCGGGTTTCCTGGCCTGACTGCTGTTTTGTTGCCATGGAAACTTGTGGTAAACTCACATCAAAACGTTCAGCTGATTCCCTGGAGTTCTTGCCTTTGGGTGTAAGCAGGAAGGGTGGAAAATGGTAATTAACATGTATTAATTTACATGGAAAATGTAAATTAACCTCTACACAAAGATGTGACAAATGCGATTGCTGCTTTGGTGTCTATTGTAAAAGGAAAAACCCAAGACAAATAGTTCCCTGATCCTTCATATATGTTTGAGGGATGCTTGAGGCTTATGCATGTAATAATCAGTGCACTAAGCTTAAATTTTAGACTCTGTATTAGAATTCCAGACTGGTTTGGGTTAGAAGGGACATTAAGGATCATCCAGTCCCAAGACCCTGCCATAGGCAGGGACACCTTTAGCTGCACTTTGCATCCTGTATTTTCCATCATTCATTTCTCTTGTTAGTACTGTCAGACTTCTTTCAGTTTTGCTCCCTAGAACATGCCAGGTGATGGATGAACTTGGAAAACACAGATATTTTGTTTCTGGGATCTGAACTGGTCTTTATAGGTTGGTCCCATGTCCAAATCATTAAGCCCTGCAAGGCTTCAGCCGCTTTTGTTTGACACCAACTTTGCTGCCTTCACACACAAGTATGCAGCACCTTAAATAAGCTGTGCATCACAGTGGAAAAATGCTAAGGTATGCTCTTTTTTAAGCATATGTGATTTATCTCCAGGTTAAAGGCTGTAAATGGCGTTAATAGGGAGGGGGTTTACTTTGCTCCCAGGTGGTTATATCCATGCTGAGTTGCTGCAGGAATATAGCCAGGATATCGTGGGTGAAGTAAGAAACTCCTCGTTAGTAAGATTAGGTTCATGAGACAGCATGAATCCGACAGGCTCTTTAGTCAGTTTGGGAGGCAGAGACAAAAAGAACTGAAGAAAGCATTGAATAAGAAATTCCATAAGACCTTATTGAGGTATGTACATCTTGGAACAGGTCAATTGCTTAGTTTTTTGCATGTGTATTCTAAAAATCTTAAGAAATTATCTTATCTTTGACTGGTCTTATTATCTTATCTTATCTTATTCGGTCTTATCAAGACTGAATATCACCGAAAGATGATAAGTTAGAAGAGGGTGAAATACACAGAAGGCTCTCAGTAAGAAAAATGTGAGGAATGGAAAGCTGAGTATAATTAATGCCACATTAGTAACACCAAGTGTAACAAAACTGTGCAGAGGAGACCTTTTATTGCTGCTTTTTGTTGTGGTGGTGTGTTTTCTCACAAAGGGCAGAAGAGCAGAGTTAGCTGTGGAATGAGGACTGAGGTGACTTAGAAAACAGGAGCAACAATCTTGAGACTGGAATTTTGGGCTGAATTTGGCAAAATTTGGTTGAACCTTAGAGCCCGTAAAAACATCTGGTGTTGCCACATTATGAAATAACCATGTAGATCATTTTGCAGAGAAAGTGTTTGCTGGTTCTTTAGATTCAGTGTTGTGTTTGTGTACACTAGTATTCAAACTCACTGTATGTTACATGTATGCCTCAGTGTTACTCAGGCAGTTGCCCAAATCTGAGTGCTTTTGGAGCAGAGGACAGAAATTCTGCAGCAGTTTGCTCAGAGAAACAACTTCATTTTGTCACACAACCGTTTGCCCAGAGTAACCTTGGGGCTGGAATGCAGTGAAGCACTGATTCCAGTCTGTTCAGGATGACTAGGCTGAGTTGAATGGAAGATGCCATGCAAGCAGATCAACAGGTTAAAGGCGTGGATGTACAAAAGCAATTTTCCATTGTTGGAGAATCTTAAGGGAGATTTGGACTAGACATTAGGAAATCTTCCCTGTGAAGGTGGTGAGGCGCTGGCACAGGGAAGCTGTGGCTGGCCCATCCCTGGAAGTGCTCAAGGCCAGGTTGGACACAGGGGCTTGGAGCAACCTGCTCTAGTGGAAGGTGTCCCTGCCTGTAGCAGGGGTTGGAGATGGATGTGCTTTAGGGTCCCTTCCAACCCAAATCATTCCATGATTCCTTTCCTACAGACAGAACTCTCGCAGCTCAGTGCAATCTCAGCTGTTTCAGGGCTCCAGCTGCCCCCTTCATGCCCTGTTGTCTCCTCTGCTCTTTTGCATCCTGTCCTTTCTGTCCCCAGCCCTGTCTAGAAGCTGTCACCACTGCTTTGTCATGCTTGCGTCTTCAGGAGAGATTAGCAACACCCAGCCTGTGCTTATGAGTTGGGTCCTTGCATTCGTTTCCTTCTGAATACTTACAAGTACTAAAGAAAGATCTCTGGTGTCACTTGGTCCTCGACGAACTGCTTCCTGTCTTAGTTAATCTGGGAGGGGAGTTCTCTACCCAGTGAATAAGAGGAACCACTTTTCCTTTTTAAGCATTCAGATTTAAAGGGCAGTTTTCTCTTTTGACTAGTTGCACAACGACTGATTATTCAGGTACACTGATATGAAGTCTTTTGGCCACCTGTATGACAAGGAAGATTGAAAAGTCACTAATACTGGGGTTGTGAAGAGGGGAAAGAAAAAAGGCAGGGGAATTAGATTGTGCTTTAGGCATACAATGGAGTTGAATTCAATTTTGTTCTCTGGAGCTTGCATACCTGTAGTTATTGCAGTAGTAGAAGTCAGACTTCTTCCATTTGCCACCTGAAATAAGATCTCATTTAAGAGCATAGGATAAACACGAGAAGTAAAATGTCAACCAAAGTTTGAGGAGATAAAGGTCAAAGAGTCCTCTCTGCTGTTGTGGTTCCTCCACAGTGAATGTCTTGCTATGCACAACAGACTGAAGTTAGTATCAGAGAATTTGGTTTTCTTACCTCTTCCTTTTCTCTCGTGCATTGCAGGATGCCTTTGTAGCCTTCCATGTTGACAAGGCGCTGGTGAACAAGTACTTGAAGCCACTGCAGATTGGGGAGCTGGCCCCAGATCAACCCAGTATTGAGCCCACTAAAAATGTAAGTCTATCTTTGTAAATCAGATCAAAGGTAGACTAAAAGGAAATATTCTGAGGAGAGACCTTGCTCTTCTGTATCAGCATAGCTCCTGGAGCAATGGGAGCCAGGTTCTTCACTTTTGTGCTACTGCTTAGAAACAATACATGCATATTAGTCTAAATCCACATTATGTGGTTGAAAATGTGATTCTTGAAAATGATTTTAAGTTATCACAGCATGAATAACAGAGCCTTGTTTTGCTCTCATGGAAATCACAGCTATCATCTTTTCTTCCCCTTGCTTTGAGGAAGAGCTGACCAAAAAATAAGTAATTCTTTCCAGCTGGTAGTAACTGTTCAACTCCCTTTTGTTGTAGGTATCTGTAGGGAGAGACTGCAGATAGAGTGCTTTAGCCTTGAATTATGTTTCACAGGCTGTATTGGCATCGCTGTTTTGGACAACCCCCTTGTAGCTGTCTCAAGGCCATTCCCAGAATAACCATTCACAGAAGCACTGTTGACAGCAGTGTGAGAAAACTGCATGAGAGGCACAGACAATGGAACAGGAATAGTGTTGGAGTACAAATATTCCCTAGGCTGTATGGTCCTTGTTGCTTCCTACTATCCAAGACTATTTGTCTTCCCCATTCCTTATAGCCTGCCCTGACTTTTCCTTTACATAGCCCCACACTGCACGCTGAAGGAAGATGTAAGTCAGACATCAGAAACACGATTCAGAGCAGTCTGCCTGTCCCAGGATGGCACAGCCACACTTCCTATGTAGGTGGGAACCTTATGAATCCTCTTACCTTGGCCACATCCTGCCTATTTCTCAATTCCATAGCTGGCCTGCACCAGGGCCTGTGTGTGCCTTGTTCCGTGGAAACACAAAGTGATTGGGAAAGCAAGCTGGCGAGCTCCTTTGTGGGTTGGGCTGTATGGAGACCGGAATTAGGCTTGGGAAGCATCTGCAGAGCTGGGAAGGACAAAGGTGTGTTGATCACGCACTGATACAGCCTGAGGCCAGCTGGGCTGTAAATGTCATTTTCATACAGACATTTAACCCTGTTATCTCGGGCAGGGTAAAGTGAAGACATGTATTAGTCTACTGGAACTGGTCCAGAAAGAGCTACCACAAGGTGGCACGCTATGCTAAGGCACATGCAGTACAGCTTCCACTAGGCACAGCTTCCATTTGAGCCCTATGCTACCTGCCGAGAAGATGATGGAAGAAGCACCAAAGATACAGTCTTAGGAGTCTGGGGTACAGACGCTGTGCTCTGAGATGGCTGCCTCTTGCTACTCTGCTCTTTGTAGACACAGAGAAGCTTTAGGAGAGCAATGATAAAGCTTAATAACGTGCAAGCCCAGATCCTTTGCCCTTTCTCACTTCCATTGAAGTAGTGCTATACGCTAGAAACAGAGAATATGTAACACTGGTGCTTCCCACAGGAAATGCTGGTGAAAGATTTCCGTGAACTGCGTGCTACTGTTGAGAAAATGGGACTTCTGGAGCCAAATCAACTCTTCTTCTTCCTGCTCCTCACTCACATCCTCCTGTTGGATACTGCTGCCTGGCTCATCCTCTTCTACTTTGGAACATCCTTCATGCCCTTTGTTGGCTCTCTGGTGGTGCTGACCATTTCCCAGGTAAGCAACTAAGTCCATAGCATGGGCACATGGACTTGACTTGCACCAGCTTTCATACACATAGTACTACTGCAGTTGTCTAGTCCTCCATTTCCTTACTTGACATAGTTCTTTGCCATAAGAAGACAACCACTATATATATGATGTATACAGATGATGTAAAGAAGAAATTCTGCATGTGGGGAGCTACCATTAAACCTAGTCTGAGATTCTTTCAGCAAGATGTATTTGAGGGGAAGCCTTAAGAGTATCAGGATTTCACAGTTCCTTTCCAACTGTGACTTTGGAGCAACGTCTGAGCAATAGATCTCAGTATTTCAAAGCAAAGGGTGGGTGTGGAACTGTCCTGATCTCAATTCCTTGTTTTTCTCCTCTCCCAATTTCTTTTCCCTCTTCCAGGTACAGGCTTCATGGTTGCAACATGATTTGGGACATCTTTCAGTATTCAGGGCAACCAAGTGGAACCACTTGCTGCATAAGTTTGTGATGTGCCACTTAATTGTAAGTACCTGATTACTACTACTACTTAGATTTGATGGCTTTCCCATGAGAGTGTGGGTTCTGAAGACTCTGTGGAGGACAGTGAGCTCAGCATTGAGTGAAGGAGGGGAATGGGAGGAAAGTTGGCTCTGAAAGCATTGTACTTTTCACACTTTGCTGTTCACTAAAACAGGGGGCATCAGCCAAATGGTGGACTCTTCTGCACTCCCAGCACCATGCCAAACCCAACTGCTTCCGGAAAGACCCTGATATTGATATGCACCCTTTCCTGTTTACTTTGGGGAAGAAGTTATCTGTGGAGGTCAGTGTGTGTGTGTGTGTGCACTCATGTACCAGGAGATGGGAAGAACGCCCTGGTCAATGAAAAGCTGTGCCGTAAAGATCTACAACTAAGATGTGATGACAGGCTCTGGAAAGAGATTGCCTTCCTCTTGTGTCTACTTTCTTCAGCCTTTGTAAGCAGCTTACAGTTCACATAAGTTCCTTTAAAGATATCTTGAACAGCTGGCAAGTAGTTGCAAATAAATTAGACATGATGGACATGCCTCATATAGGGTGGAGAATCCATCAACAAAAGGACTGTTAATGGTTATAGCACCTTAATGACCTGGTAGAACAAGTCAGTGGCCTTTGCCATCATGAAACTGTCACACAAATGTAGAGAATCAAAGAAAGTAGGGGCAAGAGGAAAAATATATATGACTATTTTTGACTAATAATATAACTTATCCTTGAAATATCTAATATTTTACAAAATAAAGTATGAACATGGTAAGAACACAAACCCAAGGAAATTCACCAGTTAAATTCCCTGTATCCACCATCAAGATACTTTTTTTATCATAACTTATAGATCACACACTATCTTTTAATGGATGAAACATTCTGGCATAGTTTTTACTGCATCATTCTCTTCCAACCCAGTCAATAGTTATCTTTCACAGCAGTTTCCTTCCTACCATATGCCAATATATGAGTTCCTTATGGGTTGTTGTCTCTGTTCTGGCTTGTCATAAATATATTTAGAACTACTTTTCGGCAATCATTTTCCCTTTCTGGAGAAAAATCTGGTGCTTGCTTAACAGTTTATGTCTGAAGGACTTTACAAAGCTGTAAGCCTTACATTAATGGAATGAGGGTTTATGGTAAAGGTGTGTTATGTATGTAAGCTAATAGGACAGGTACAAAGAGGGAGAGAGTAGGAATGAGGGCTGTGGAAGTGTGCAAGAAGAGTGCCTCTGGGGAAGAAAGAATGGAACCCAGCAGGTTACCTGTGCAGTTTGCTTAGCTTCCACTCTAATTGTTTTGCTGTTTCTTTCCACAGCTTGGGATCAAAAAGAAAAAATACATGCCATACAATCACCAACACAAATACTTCTTCATCAGTGAGTATCTTCATTCTCCTGCAATACAATGAGGCTTGCAGGTCTTTTTACTGTAGGATTTGAGCAGGACTGAGGTGTCCCCATCAAGGATCATAATAATCAATTTCCATCTAATTTTTGGAGGAATTGAAGACCTGAATGGATAAAAACCTGAGTAACCTGGTCTAACGAAAGTATAGCTGCTGCTTTTCTGAGATCCTGAGCTTCTTTCCAGCCTGAATTACCATGTGATCCTACATGAGAGCACGTTTCTGTGCCCTTCCTGATTTGAAACACATTGATTTGGTTTGAGAATTCCTAACCAAATAGCTTAGGTTTGTTCCAGGATAGAAGAAGTAGTGGGATCACCTTAAAACTGTGGTGCTTTGTAAAGAGAAGTCTGCATCTATTTGGACAGAGAAAATGAGACTCTTAACTCGGTAATTAAGGAAGTTACTTGGGAGAGTGAGATGAGAGCTGCAGGGCCTGTTGATGTGAGCTGGGTAATACATGGCTAACAAAAGCAAACATTCACAGTTTCTCCACTGTCAGTGCCCTGATCTCTAGGCTCACCCTGGCCTCTTCTTCCCATCTTAGTGAAGCTTTTATTCCTTTGGCAAAGCAGCACAATTTCAACATGGGGCAAGGCAAAGTCACCTCTTGCAACTCTCCAGAATAGCCTGAAGTCTCAGGATGCTTGCCTGGAAAGCGGACAGCGTGACTTTGAACCATAAAACCCAGCAGAAATGGGCACTTCCAAGGTGTAATTCATGCAACCTGGTTTTACCCTTGATCTCTGAAGATGGCAGGAACTCACTCCAACAGTGGCTTTTCTCTCAGGTCACTAAACAGATCTGCCAGGGTTAGTTCATTTGTGCATAGTTCAGATGTACAATTCAGAGATGCCTAGTTAGGGATGGTGGTCCTATCCCAGATCTTCCACAGTGGGTCTGAAAGATGTGGTATGACATCGCAATCAGTAGTATTCAAATTTAGATAATAGTCTGTGGGGTTGGTTTAAGTACAAGTGAGATGTCCACTTGGAAGGTTGAGTTTGCATTTAAGTTCTCACAACCTAAAATCCATGGGATGATTTTATATGTACTCCTATTGTTCCTCTGCTTTAAACAACAAATGGGAAGCCAAATCACCTTTGGGAAGCCACTTCTCAAACTATTCCTCTGTGGCTGTCCCTCAGCTAAAACCCTAAAATAAAATCTTAGGTTTGTAACCACCATTAGATTAATGGACAGACCTAGAAATGTTTAGAGATACTGATGTAGCATCCTAGCCAGTATCAGACAGTTGCTCTCTTGCGAAGTGATTTGCTGTGATGCTCAGAAGGATTATTAAGTTTCTGGGGTCTTGTCCTCCTTATTTCTCAGGATTCTACACACTCCTTTTTGTTTCCACTCTTCTGAAAGAAGCAGTGGTCATAGCCTTTCTCCATGAGGAAACAGAAGGCAATGTATTGAGAGGTGACATGAACAGTAGCAGGCTGTCCTGCCGAAGAGGAGAAACTGTCCTCAATCAAGCTTCAGAGAGCTTCTTGTCTTACCTTCGTTTTACCTCTTGAGGTCAGCAGGCTCCCATACTGCTCACTGATGGCCTGCAGTGATGCATACTGGTGTTATCCAGAAAATTCCATAGCCCTAAAACTTCTTGGGATATTCTCGATATTGAGTAACCATTGAAGGATCCTTTGCTTCCAGTTTATCTGTCACTCAGTCCATGACATTACCAGTGATAATGAATTCTCCCTTACAGCTCTGCCTCCACTCCTGTTTCCCACCTACTTCCACTACCACACGTTTTACATCGCATACACAAAAAGGTACTGGGTGGTGAGTATTGCTGCTTGTGCAACCAAGAAGGGGTCAACTGTGGGCCTTCAACCTTTCTTCTGAACACAGAGCTAGCTTCTGCCCAGAGCTCAGCCCTGTTGTGTGCCATTCAGTTAAGCCTAACAGGACAGTCAGTTTGGTGACGTTTTTCAGTGCCTCTGCATACTTTCTGCTACATCATTATATTCCCCAGCTCAAACATAGGGTCCTGAAAACAAAAGGCTGTTTTGGCTTGTACTGCTTTGCCTCATGTGCAGAACCATGGAGTGTACTGTCCCCTTTAGTTTGGGAAGCAAATTGGAAGGCCCATAGTGGTAAGGAACAGGAGGATATGGATTTATAGGAACTGTTGTCCTTGGTTTGTAAACAGTATGCATATACTTGGCATTATTTCCTATGCAGACAGCCAGAATTAGTGCTTTGTTCTTCCTTCTCTTGTGTGTGTTACGGTTGCAGGAGGACAGCAAACTCCAGCCACAATGAGATCATTGTTGGTCTAGCACTTAGCTCACTGTGGAGTACTGGGCAATGATTTGAGACAAGTCAACTCGTGTTTCTGAATGCATAGTCATTCGCTAATACATCAATGTAGATTACCATGTGTAAATCCTCACATTCATCTATATTATAGGAAGCTGTGAAAAAGTCCTATCATCTTGTGGTAACTTGGATTGCTCCAGTTCTAGTTTTGCTGATTCAATTCAGCAAAAACTTACAAAAGCTAAATGTAGATGGTTCTCTCGTACATAGAACATGAAGCTTAGAAAAAGACTTAAGCAAATGTAATTTATAATGATTCTCTTGTTGTGTCTGCTTTTGGTAGGACTTGGCCTGGATGATGACCTTCTACATCAGATTCTTTTTTATTTATGGATCATTACTAGAAATAAAGAGTCTTGTGGCATATTATTTTATATTCAGGTAATCTCTCTTTAGAAGGTTCTTTAACCTTCCTCTATACATTCTTGCTGTCTGTGCCTGCCTTTCTCTGCCAGTTCAAGTTTTATGTCATCGCATTGGCTCTGGAGCAAAGAGACTTCACAGAGTGCTGTTAAATACCTGAAGTAATTCAGTGCTTTGGGTGTTGGGTCTGCTGCTGGTTAGAGAAAGAGATCATTTAACAGAAACAGCTTAGTCTGGGCTTGCAAGTGCTCTGGCAGCATTGGCTTGAATGGACACTACGCTCTCCACTTGGAGCATTTTACTGATTCTAATCAGTGTGGTCCTTGGCTACAGATAAAACAAGATGAATACCAGGCTCCGTCAGTTTTATAACAAACCATATTAAATAATCATGGTTTACATAAGGAAGTATGAAACTTCCAGGTTTTGGAAGTTCTTCCAGGTGCTGGATTAGCAAGGCTGATGTTCAGCTATGTGTTTGTAAGTCTGGTTGTGGTGTTGTTTCAGTGGCTCATCACTGACTTGCTTACCTGTTACTTAATTCTGGCCTTTTGTCTGACTGCACAGGATGATGGAGAGCAGCTGGTTTGTCTGGGTTTCACAGATGAACCATATCCCTATGGATATTTACTATGACAAGAACTTGGACTGGATGTCTACTCAGGTAAAACATTTTCCATTCTTAAGAGTTGTGACCATACAGGTACAAATTCTAAATCACAAGACGAGCAAGTTCTCTACTGCACTAAAGGTGAAAACCTGTTAGGAAGTGGGAAGTGAAGGCTAATAGTATAATGGTATTCAGCTATGGTAACAGTAAATAGGATAGCAATGACATGGTCATAGGCAATCTAAAACCAAAGCTAGGTCCCAGCTCTATTAAGGTGTTCTTGCCCACAGCCAGGGGAACGGAGCTAGGTGATCTTTAAGGTCCCTTTCAACCCAAACCATTCTATGATTCCATCCCCCAAATATACCCACCTTCTCACTTATTGCATCATTCTGTCTTGGACCTTTTCCCCTTACATGGAGATGGAAGTTTGTATCCTGCTCTTGCAGAGCAATTACACTAGTAGAATAGCAGTGTGGTGTCCCCTCTTTGCAGAGAGACTTGCTGGAGTCCAACAGAGCAGTCTGACCACACAGAACTACTCTGTCATCTCTGCTTTTTCTGCAGACATAGGTTTGAGAAGACCCAAGAGGAACTTCTGACTGTTCATATGCCCTCACAAGAGCACAGAGCCAACTCCTACTTTTACGATGGCCCATGTTAGTCAGTCTATGTACATTTATGTACATAGACTATGTACATGTCTATGTACATCCACAAAGCTGAAGGAGGATTATGAGCCCTGGCTTGAAGTAGCTCAGCTTAGGCTGAAAGAAAACAACAGAAGAGAGCAGCACAGCATATTGTGCTCTTTAGAGAAAGGCTGCAGTCACCAACCTGTGATGACTTTGCTTTCCTTTCCTCTTTGCTAGCTTCAGGCCACATGCAATGTTGAGCAGTCCCTATTCAATGACTGGTTTACTGGGCATCTGAACTTCCAGATTGAACATCAGTGAGTATGCACCCCAAGAGAGAATTTTCTTCCCTCCTTAACAAAGTAATTTTCTTTTCTTGTTTTTCTTTTCCCTGTTCTTCTTTACTCTGAATTCTACAAAGAGTTCTGGGGCATCAATGAGTTTGTCTTTTAAAAGGCTGAAAACCCTAAACAGAATCACAATGTAATTCAAAACCTTCATTAGACCTCACTAGGAAGGCAAGAATGCCAAATGAAGACTGAACATGGGCAGGACCTATGAAATCATACAGATAGCGACAGGGTCTATCCAGAGTAGTAGCTTGTAAGCATTAGTGAAAATGTACATACTAAAGCGCTCTGATTATAGGCTAACACTGTAGGTTAAGCCTACCTGTACTAACTACTTATGCTATTACTCTAGAGACTGAGATACACAGGTGAAGAATGGGCTTGAGAATTTGTCTGTCTCCTGTTCACAGTCTGTTTCCTACAATGCCAAGACACAACTACTGGAAGGTGGCTCCTCTGGTGAAGTCCTTGTGTGCCAAACATGGCATCAAGTACCAATGCAAGCCATTGCTCACAGCTTTTGCAGACATTGTCCAGTAAGTACAACACACAGGCCAAAGAATTGCAGGAGAGATTGGAATACTAAGAACAAGAATTGTCTTGTTCTTTCACAAATCAACACACACAAGCCCTCATTTCCCCTGTCTCCACTAACGTTCTCCTAAGTAACCCTGCATAATGTGGCCTCCTGTGCTTTCTCTTTCCCTCTCTCAGCTCTCTGAAGAGCTCAGGAGATCTCTGGCTTGATGCCTACCTACACAAATAAGAAGATGAAGCCTGATGGTACCATTCGCAGCCTGCTACTTCTTTGCATTCCCAGCAAGCTGAGGACCAGGGACTACAAGGGACTCTATGGCAGAAAAAAAATGGATAAGAACTGAAGGATATGATTCCAATAGATATGAAGTTACTTGAATTTTGCTTCTGGTTTTGTCTGGTGTTTTGGTTCAGATATGTTAAGAGTGCCTTTTAGATGTTTCTGGGTGATGCCTGGACAAAACCAAAGCACTAACAAAGCAATGGTGCACATCATAGGGCCCTCATAGACCATTGCAGGTCAATTAGCTCTAGGGTTAGTACTGAGATAAGGATTGGAATAACAGCTAAATTTAGAGTAAGATTTCAGAGTTAGTGTGAGGCACTGGCTAAGCCAGAATCCGGGTCGAAAGCAGATGCACATTGACTAGGGCTCCCACATTAGAAGTGGCTAGGAAGGTAAAAAACATCAGCTTACCCAAAGAGCTTTTGAAGCAGATCCAATAGCAGCTGGATTGCTGAGGCTTTTGTGCTTCCTGGTGTGATCCAGGGAACACCCAAACTGTGATGGAGGAGGAAGGAGGAGCACTCTCACTGCCAGCTAGGGAGTTTTTTGCTCACAGGTGTATGAAATATGGGTTGTGAGTTATGAAATCTTATGACCGGTGTGGTGAATAAGTGGATTCACATGATAGAGCAGCCTAGGCAACAGGGGACTGAGCCCCTGTTTGCCATGGGTTTTTGTCATGTTTCTTAATAAGCTCATGAAATAAAGTTTAAATCACAGAGCACATTGCCCTGTAACTTTGACAGATCCAAATGGACCCTAACGCAGGGGAACTGACCCTGACCCCAAACACAATAGGTCTGAACCCAAACCCTAATGGCCCTAACCCTCAACCCAATCCTAATAGGCCCTGACACTAAGCTAACCCTAACTGTAATGGCCCTAACCATCATCCTAACTCTTAGGCCCTGACCCTAATAGTAACTCAAACCCCCCAACCCCCCAATAGGCCCCAACTACAACACTGACCCTAAACTCCCCTTCCTTAGTGGCTGTAACCCAAACACCAATAGGTCCTAAACCTTACCTTAACCCTAGCTTTGATGTCCCTATCCCTAAACATAATATTAACAGAGTGTGACACTAAGCATAACTCTAATCCTAATGATTCTAACCTAACCCCAACCCTAACGATTACAGTCACTAACCCCAAACCCTGATAGGCACTAACTCTAAGATCAATACTAATAGGCCTTAACCTAAACCTAACCCTAATGGCTCTAGCACTAAACCTAATCCATTGAAACAGATTTGAGATTTTTTTTAACCAAATATAGTAAAACACAATTTTTACTTCCTGGGCCTTGATACATAGGAAGGAGTTTATATTAGTTACTGGAGCTCATCCCTAGTGTACAGTTACAGAAAGTGACATCACACAGTATCACATCATGTTATTAAGCATCCTGGAAAGTCTTGGGAGGCAGTAAGCTTCCTTGCTTCCCAGTGAGGTTTACAGCTCTTAAAATGAACCTGAGAGTTAGGATTACAAATACAGTCAGATGAGAAAGGTGGGAGAAGAAAGCAGGGAAAAGGGTAAAGCTGGGTAGTTGCTTTGACAAGCCTGGCTTGCAGGAACAACAGTCATGTCAACTCATCATGATGCAAAGCTGCTTAACCCAGACAACATCCTGGCTACCTTTTGAATCAGCATCATACAAGGCTGAGTGCTGGCCATATATATATATATATATATAATATTTATTTATTTATTAGGGACTGTAGTGATAGGACAAGGGGTAATGGGTTCAAACTTAAACAGGGGAAATTTAGATTGGATATAAGGAGGAAATTCGTTCCTGTTAGGGTGGTGAGGCACTGGAATAGGTTGCCCAAGGAGGTTGTGAATGCTCCATCCCCGGCAGTGTTCAAGGCCAGGTTGGACGAGGCCTTGGGTGATATGGTTTAGAGTGAGGTGTCCCTGCCCATGGCAGGGGGGTTGGAACTTGATGATCTTAAGGTCCTTTCTAACCCTAACTATTCTATGATTATATATATATGTATGTATTTGGACTCAAGCAAAGCCATATAACGTAGAGGGAACAAAAGTACAGGATCCAGAATCAAGGTTTTAAGTGAGACATGAACTTTTTTCTGTCAAAGCTTACTAAGAAAAGACTTATTAAGCTCAAGCTTATTAAGGCAGCTTTGAGAGTTGAAGAGTAAAATGAATTATAAGTGGACTCAGTTTTGGCTCTCCCAGACAGAAGGTAAGTCAGAGAAAGAGGCTAATTTGAGTACCTTGAATCACCCTTGAGAGAAGGCAGTGTCTCTCCATCGAATAGTAAGAGAATATGTTCTTTATCTGAAGTGAGTATGATGGGGAATGTATACTCAGACCCTAAAAGAGAAGACTGACTTTGGGAAAGTGGACTTTGGGAACACAAAAATCCATTTGAGCATCAGCAATTAAGACAACTTTCTTACAATAATGCAAGTGAGGAGATTAATAAATAGAGATCTCACCTGGTAAAAAACAAAATATGAGAAAGCCTCTCATTAGATAATGAATGGACTTTGTATTGTTCGTGTAAGAATTTAATTACACGTGTCATGCTCAGCACCGACCTTTACTTAAAACCTTTAACCCAGTACAGTGAGCCAGAACATGTAAAAGATTTATTATTAAACCATTTTCTGCTTGGAAAATGTGCAATGCTGCTTAGAGGTTAACAGCACAAAGTACAATTCCCAATCCAGGAGAGTAAATGAAGCAATTCCTGAAAACTTTGTGAGAGCAAAGAAGGACTCAAAATGCTTTCAGTTATTAAAAAACACATTTCCACTATTTTAAAAAGCCTTTTAGAATTACCTTGAGTAGTTGAAAATAATTTCTGTGGGTAGATGGGAAGCTGGATTTTGAAGACCAGCGTCTGATTTTTGGACCTTCAGCATCATTTGGCTTCTTGTGCTATCTCAACTCAAAATGCACCTAAAAAACCAAAAAGCTGCAAATGTTTTCATTAACTGGGGCCCAAAAGTGTGCAAACGAGAAAAAGCGTGCAAGAAAGTTGAGCAAGATAGAGATGAATAACTGTGGATAAATGCAAAATAAAGCCTAAGCAACATGGATCAACACCAGAGCAAATAGTTGTCAGATTTTCTCCAGGTATCTCCAACCAATCTTACCAGGATGGTAGATAGGTTTAGATGAAAGGCTGCCTGTATTACCTCAGGATGATATTTAATAGCTTGGTGAGATTTTACAAGGAAGATATCACTGAGAGAACCAAGGACGGAAACATATACAAATACATTGTGCAACCCAACAGAAAAGCATAAAGCCAAAATGACTCATATAGAGGTTATGGTACATGAAAACAGAGTGGAAGTAAAATCAGCAGCCCCACCACTACAGTATCTTCTCTAAATGTGAAGAAGATGGAAATAATATAAAATATCAACCAAATAGTCTAAAATTCAGCCTTTATTCCTGCAACTCTGAAATGTAAATTCCATTAATTTCCAGTGATTGTATATTGAAATCCAAGGTCCAGGACAGGCAGCTTTTATCAGGAATAATATTGAAAGTTTGAATGAAAAATGAAGCATTTCTTCCAATAAGATCTCTCTGGAAAAGGGGGTTTTAAGAAATATTGGTGCACTTGACAAATTTCATTTTATATATGGCACCTCAAATTAATAACTAGATATTAAATAAATATAATAACTAGATATTAAATAAATTAAGCACAATCATAGTCTTCTGTGTTATAAAGCTGAATGGTACATAATAAACCCCCCTTAATCATAGAATCATAGAATAGTTAGGGTTGGAAAGGACCGTAAGATCACCAAGTTCCAACCCCCTGCCATGGGCAGGGACACCTCACACTAAACCATCTCACCCAAGGCTCTGTCCAACCTGGCCTTGAACACTGCCAGGGATGGAGCGTTCACAACCCCCCTGAGCAACCCATTCCAGTGCCTCACCACCCTCACAGTAAAGAACTTCCTTATATCCAATCTAAAGTTCCCCTGTTTAAGTTTTAACCCATTACCCCTTGTCCTATCACTACAGTCCCTAATGAAGAGTCCCTCCCCAGCATCCCTATAGGCCCCCTTCAGATACTGGAAGGCTGCTATAAGGTCTCCATGCAGCCTTCTCTTCTCCAGGCTGAAGAGTCCCAATAATCTTTGAACAACTGCTGTATCTATTAAAATGCTGACAGATCTTAGCCAAACTTTTTATAGTATAATCACACTGTTTATTCCATGGAAGCGCTGAAAGCATTCCTCATCCCGCAGTCTTAAGAAACTTGTACATATGCACCTGTAAAGAGGCAGAACTTCACTAAAACACCCTTATAACTTGTTTTAAATCTAAAGAAAGCATTGCATTTAGGAAAAGCAATGAGTGTCCGAAGCACCTTGGTCTCTGCACACATGAAACGAGCAAGGAAAAATAAGGAGTGATTTCCTCATTCTTGCTTTTCTAACTTCCCTCCAAGGTTTAGGCATTGTCCAGATCCTGAAGACAGTAACAGAACTATGATTAGGCAGAGCTCCATGCTTTTATCTCCTTTGTATGTGCCAATTTTGATTTTTCCCCCTCACCCCAAGCTACACAAAAGATAACAGCAGGCTTATTGCCTTATTTAACTGGGTTTAACAGAAAGATTAGAAGAAAAACATGCAAGTGAAGCAAAACATGTTAGACTTTTGTTAAAGATTACACCTTTAGGCAGAGCAACTATTGTGTAATTTAAAGCAGCACTCATTTGGCCAGCTTCATTGCCAGGGTTTAGGCTCCTTCCACTTGAGCAGAGGCAGTTGGAACAGGTCATGCAGACCTCTGCTCAGGCAGGGGGCCAGCCATACACCCTTTAGGCAGACATTGGCTAAAGCAGGCAACAAAAGATGGTGTTTGGTCAAACAGGCAATTTACTTTGCATAGTCTCCTTTGATCTATTATATCAAGGCAATGCTAATGTGAAGAAACGTGTTTCATGGAGTTCTTTTCTAAAAGTGAGGTGGAACCAAGAGATGGCTGGATGTGATCAACCAGGGTGAAGTAACTGCAGAGAACTGAATAAAGCAAGCTGAAGGGAAGGCAAGAGATGGGGGTTTGGGTTCAGGTCTCCCAGTGGTCTCTGTCTCCTGAACACCCTCACAATCTTACAGACCACCACAACATAGAAAAGATGCCAATTTCCACAAGAACTCAGTTACCTGCTTCTTCACACACTTCCAGTGGCAACCCCAGCAGCATCTGAGAGCGAAAGCCAGGCTTTAAGCTAAAGACTCACCTAGCTACCGTATCTAGGGAAGGCTGCCTTAAGGCTTTTGTATTTTCATTCTGTTTGGGGAGTGTTGCAATTGTAGCTTAGTCTGTAAACAGCAGCTCCCATTATTCTTATTCCTCAAGAATTCTTAGTCTGTAAACAGCAGCTCCCATTACCCTTATTCCTCAAGAATTCTTACGACATCTATGCACAAGGTCAATGAGAGATTCCTGAGACTTAAGTGAGGAAAATAGGAAAGAGATTATCCTTCCCCAGCTATTTATTTGTAGAAGACTGTATCCGCTTGTGTGTCAGTGCTGTTGCTGTCAATCCTGAATCAACAATGACTGTGAAACAAGGGTTTACTGCACTGGGGGGGGGGGAGGTAGGGTTAGGGTTCAATAGGCATTCAATGAAAAAGTAACAAAGATGCCAATATTGGTCAAAGCTTTAAAATGGTGAAATCAGAGGCATGAGCAAAGACAAACACTGAAGTTGACACAGCAAATCTATATATAAAACATTTATGATTTATCACGTGCTACAACACAGGAAATTAAGTTTTCCTTCTGACTTGTTCCATTATAGCTTTACAGTATTTGAGTTGAACTTTGATTACAGCAACTGAGCTGTAACCAAAATGCCTTTTATGGCCTTGTAAGGATTCGAATGAGGTGGGTTAAGATCAAGGTGAACATTTCTGAGGCTTTCAAAAACCTATGAAGACACTGCATGTTCTTCTGAAAATAAAAGCGAAGTAACTGGTGCCTAATGCTTTATTTCAAGGTATAGAATCATAGAGCAATGGTGATACATTACAAAGAGCAATGCATCATCATTTCATGTAACAGGCTGCAACACTGAGGATGACAAACGTCACAATATATAACAGTACAAGACCTGGTTGCTTTGGTAAGCAGTATGCAAAGATATTTCATTCTTACCATTAAAACAAATACAACTATCAGTTTACCAAGCTTCAGTGTGTGACCTGAAAACAAATTGCAGCACAGCTCCTGAGGGCCTGTTTACTCTCAGACTGCACTGCAGTGAGATCTCCAAATGCGTTGGGGTTAAAGTTTGACTTCGAGTGCAACCTCACCATGACAAAGTTCAACTTTTTAATCACACAACCAAACCATACAGGCTCTACTCAGGCTGTAAAAGCGTCACTGATACCAGCTGAGTATCAAGCTACTTCACCTGTTATTTTTACACCCCTGCTTTTTGTCATTTAGCCTCAATTAGCTTTCCTAGAGTGCATAAACACACAAACATTGACTGGAGCACCTCCCATATGAAGATAGGCTGAAAAAGTTGGGGCTGTTCAGCCTGGAGAAGGCTGTGTGGAGACCTCATAGCAGCCTTCCAGTGTCTGAAGGGGGCCCATAGAGATGCTGGGGAGGGACTCTTCATTAGGGACTGTAGTGATAGGACAAGGGGTAATGGGTTCAAACTTACACAGAGGAAGTTTAGATTAGATCTAAGGAAGAAGTTCTTTACTGTAAGGGTGGTGAGGCACTGGAATGGCTTGCCCAGGGAGGTTGTGAATGCTCCATCCCCGGCAGCATTCAAGGCCAGGTTGGATGAGGCCTTGGGTGATATGGCTTAGTGCGAGGTGTCCCTGCCCATGGCAGGGGGGTTGAAACTTGATGATCTTAAGGTCCTTTCCAACCCTAACTATTCTATGATTCTATAATCTTGTGCAAACACGGGGCTTTTTCAACAATCTTCTTTAGTCTAAATGATCCATTCCCACAACAGACATCATCCTGAACTAGAAGAGGACCTCAGAACATCAGACGTGAGATAAGTTTTCAAAGGAAAAGTATATTGATACATTCTTAATGGGACAGAAGAAAAAGGGAGTGGGACAGATGCTCTGCAGGTGCCTTATACAGCTATGTGTGAGATATGGTACAGCACAGACTGCATAGGTCTTCAGCTCTTAGTCTGGATTCAAGAGCTAAGTGAGAATCTAGCAATTGCTTGCAATGAAACTACAAATCTGTCTTAACTGCCTTAATTCCATTCACAATCATCCAGAGCCTTAGTGATTTTCCTAGTTCTGTCCAAAACAGGCTTACACAACTCAAGTTACACCCTCAGCGTTAGCCGAGTCAAGGCTATGCTCAAGTCCAGCTTTGCATGTCATGATCACACAACTGTGACCCCAAACAACAAGTTCAGATTAAGTCCTGCAATATTGTCTAGGAGGAAAGATCAAACTTTAGCATTCACTGCATATCTTCATGTAACTAACTGTCAATGAGAGATAGGAACATGCAACTTACCACCTCTGCAATAGTGGTTTGAAGCCCCAAACCACATCAAACACAACTCAATTAATATTTAACTTGCAGATAAAAATGAAACTGTTTAAAATGAAGGATCTGGAAGCCTCAACTAAAGAGATATGTGGGTTCGCAGGCTTAAGATAGGCTTAACAGACCACAACCACCTCCTCCTGTGGTATTAGGTGAGGAAAGAACTCTTGCTTTCCTATAATTTTGTGGGAAAATGGTGACTCACATGCCTAGCTGAAAAAAAAAAAAAAAAACACATATCAGATCTCCAAATAATAGCTTTCACCAGGTAATAAGCTAGCTGGGTTTGAGATAGAAATTTGGGGCTTACCTTTTCCAACACGCTTAAAGTAGTAAATATCTGATCCAAATCTACCTCACCCTTGTTTCCCTGAAGAACATTTAGCAATCCCATACATTCATCTCCTAGCACAGCCCACTTCAACAAACCTCCGTTGAGATTCTGGAATCTGCTCATGGGTTTTTTTGCTATTTCAGTCAAAGTATTTTGGAAAAGGGAAAACAAACCCAGGAATAAAGGGGAATAGCCTATTAGAAGGAGAGGTATTCCTGGAGAAGCTATAATTTCCAAACCATATGCTTCAAGCTCGTTCCCAATTCCACTGTTACAGATGTGCATCTAAATAGGAAGATGTTGAGCAATTCTCCTTTACATGTAACCGAGAATTGTATTGCAGTAACCTATCAAAGGAACATTTGACTTTACTTGAACAGAACACAAAGTCAAAACACAAATGAGGCTGTGTCATGTCAGTAAAGAGTCTTTTTATTCTCACAGTAAGTAGCTGTAAATGGATTTATCATCTTGTTTATTTGAAGAAAGAACATTATTGTTCTTCCAGCATGGCCTAACCCTCTCAAGTGCCCTTTGAAAAGGCCGAGTCTTACTGTATAATACTTGTCACGGGTAGTTTAGCAGCACAGAACATGGGTCAGTCTTTCAAACACAACTACACAAACTGGGAAGTTTCAAAACAAAGGCAGCTGCAGAAGGTACATAAGACCCACCTCACCCATTCTGTCTTCTCAGCATCATTGCACAAGATGTTTCCTATCTCCTCCTCATATTTCTTAGTGCTTGATTTTCTTTTTGGACTTGACACCGTTCAGATTTTAGCCTAATCTGTACTCTAAACTGGTATAAATTACAGTGAAATTTATTAGTGATAATCATTTATGGGCATGGTCAGATAAAGGCCACCTGGACAAAGTTTACAGATAGCTGCCTATGTTAAACACTCTACTAAAACTTCCACATGTTCATGTCACAGTGTCCTCTTCACCATGGGGTCAGTAAGTGTACTTACCACTGCTTTGTAAAGGTTACCTTAAAATGAGCACATGGGTCCTTACCTATAAAAGACGTAGGGATTTAGGAACAAAGTAACTGCAGTAAGAAAAGCAGAATTGAACAGTAGAATAAATCTCCGTACTGACAGGTTTTTGCAAGATAGCTTTGAGACCCTTAAATTCCACATACTCAAACTATTAAGAACTGTCCTCTACTAAAGTTTCAGTGAACTGCAATGAAAAACTTATATAAACTTCTGACAATTCTGTACACTGCCAGCAAAGCTTTTAAATCAAAAGTAACAAATGGCTCCTCAGTAAATAGAGGCTTTAAGTAAAGCACCATCAATAAAACCCACAGCAAAGCAGAACAGCAACTTTTCCCTGTTAATATGGTACACGCAATTGTAGATGTTGCTGTACCACAGATGTGAGCAGCATTCCCTTCTCTGAAGGTTTAAGAAATTAAAGAGAAGGTTCCCAACAAGTAATTTCTCGTATCAGAGCTGAGCAGAATTTAGTGCTTGGCCTCTACACATGAATTCTAAGCATCAGCCTTGAATTCAAGGCCTTTGCTGGCAGTCAGAGCCTGTGCACACCAAATAATTAGGTTTTGAAAACAATACCAATTACCCAAAACTTCAACAGCTTCTGCACAACCTGCAAATAAAAAGAGAGGAGAGCATCAACTTTCTACATTAAACTCTTCGAAAACATTCATGCAGAAAATGGGAAACATGTTGCCAAGAAACTTTCAAATTCAGTTTTATTTCAGAAATAAAAGAGGAAGACAATGCAATCCATTTAGCAGACACAACCAAAATTAGATTCAGCTTTGCTCATTCTCTTACAAATCTCACTAGGATTCTATGCTCCAGCAAAACTATTCCCACCCACTCATGTGGTTCTTTCAGCTCCCACCTGCCTGATCAGGTAAAAATCTAGTTGATCCCAGAACAGAGTAGGCTATCAGTTCATATTATTTTACTGCATCTATACCACAGCTAATTTCTCACAATAGATTAGTAGATAAATGAGTTGGAGAAGTAGCAAGATTTCTACAATTTAAAGTAACAGCACTTCAGTATCTATTCTTTATCCGCCATCACTTCTTGGAATGCCACTTCGCACTTAAATGTCAAATTAGGAAGGACTCCTACTCAAAACACAACTCAACACAGACCCTGAAGTGTACTGAATAGTGGAAAAAACCTGCTATGACTTTAAATTCGTATTTCCTTGAGTTAAGAGCTAGTAGCTGGACTCTGAAATCTTTTGTATAATCGTTCACGCTTTCTCCAATCCAAATATTAATGAGACAGTATCAGCAGGTGAACAAGGAAAGCAAATATTTCAAATGAGGGGTACTGATGCACAAGGATCTGGCCTAATTACGCATACACTGATATTTCTCTTTGACACTGCTAAGAGGAAGAAAGAAGAGACAAGGTCCTTATTATAACTAGCCAGGCTTTCAGAAGCATGGTGAATTGCCTGATCCTACTGAGCACGTTTCTGAAACACTTTGTCTTAACAGACCAACTTCAACTTGCAACAGGTATGACATTCTTTCATTCAAAGCTCCAACAATCAGCTTGGACACTGATTCCCTCACAACTGGCTAACACTTCCCAAAGAATTCTCTAAAGAAAAAAATACTAGGTGAGATTTTGACCCTTACAAATCAATGGTTTAAGACCTGGTTTTGTTGTATGCTTGGATAGTAAAGCCTCAGATGCTGCCAATGCACTTTCTTAGGCAACCACAACTCAGATTCAACTAAGGTAGTGTCCAGAAATTCCATCATTATCATTTAATTACTGCTCTAAGTTCTCAAAAATAAACACTTTCATTTTGCGACAATTAGCTTGACCTGATTAAAGATCATACTCCAAAACTGGACACAAGAAATATTACTACGCTAAACTCCTTCGGCTCTAAGCAATAATATGGAACACTTTTCAATCCAAAGGGTACTAAAATCTGTTGCACTGATTAACTAAATTGAAAATACTAGGCAACATAATATGCTTAAAATCAGGCCTTATATATATATCTAGCTATAGATACCCACACTCAGAGAGACTCAGACTTCAATTAAAGGTTACCTCTGAAAACTAGCTCTGGCTTGATCAATATGTAGCAATATCTGGTGATAGCAGTAACATAACAGAATTTCAGGAACCACTGAGAGGGTTTTGAAAGTGCTTCATCTTAAATTTGGCCAAGATAAAAATATTCAAGCATTTGGAGGTTAATATCTCAGACACTTGGAGCATTAATATTTTTCTATTTAAATTCTGGCAATTAGAAAGAACAATTCCTCCTCACCCAAAGAACTGTAAGATGTAATCAATTTTGTTGAGAAGTGTATGTAATAAGAAAACATCCTTTCCTATCTCTTAGGTCAGTTATATCCCAACCTAGCATTAGTAAACAAAGATTATCTTAAAATATGTATTGGGAATACAATTTACCTATATTCAGAATAAGCTTTGTCATTAGTTTCATTTTGATCATGAGGAATGACACGCAACTAATATTTTAGTCAAATTATTGCATATTATTTTACTTCTGAAAGGCCAAAAAGGAAATTCAAAAGGAACTGCCTACAAATACATACAGGTATTTTATTAGACATAATGAGCAACAGCAACTTTTCAACATTAAGAAGTTTATCCACATGGATAATCACAGCTTCATTACAGTTCTACTGTGTGATTTAGCCAGGCAAAGTTTTACAATAAAAAAGAGACAATATTTTCATTAAACTTATGTTTGCTTCTACAAATGGAGAGGATTTTTAATCATGAGTTTCCTTAAAAACACCATATGTTGTTAACAAGCAGTAAAGCACTAGTGTTGAAAGGCACTAGGTTGTTGGCTTGTGTTACCTAGTTTCCAATACAGATACGGGCACTTGAAAGCTTAAGAAACTGAGCCTGTAAAACAATTCTGTATTTGTGCAGAAGTTGCTACATTCATTAATCTCTTCCACGGGTTGCCCTGCAGTTGTAAGGACGCAAAATTGGTAGAGTGAATCTCTGCAGCACGCTTTACAAGTTGGATCTCTCTTTGGCAGACATACGAGATGTGGACTGTGTGTATGTCCTGATTACATCCTAAAAATAATACAAAAGAAATATTCAGAGCATGTTCCATTAAAAGTAATTAGGGGAACTTCAGGAAAAAAAGTGAGTACTTGAAGCAATAATGTTGTTATTCTGCTTAGCAAGCACTGAGCCCAGGAAAGGCTTGTGGAAATGTTTCATTACCATTACAAAGAGTGTGTAATCATTTGGTCTGCCTGTAGAATCAACCTGAACACATTGCATAGCACATAGCTATCTTCCAGAAACCTCACAAAAACCCAACTAAAACAAAGTAATTGCATATCGCTGGTTAATCAACATTTAATTAAATGTAATTAGAGGGATGTTTCCCCAGTCTGTAATTCTACATGCACTGACTTCTGCCATTTAAACCAAGTGGGAATCCAGACTTACTTCTCACTTTGTTGGGTTTACAAAAGAAGCTAAGCCAATTCACAGGTGGTCAAAATTCAACTACAGAAATCATTAGCATACCTTCTTCCCACTGTCAGCACTGTACTTGTCCAGCAAAGCCTGAATACGAGCACCATAGTCAGGATGAACATCCGTGAAGTTTTTCACCTGAACAGGAAGACAGAACAGAAGAAGCAACAAGAATTTTTTCCTCCATTCCAAATGTATCCCTTAACACATTTTCTGCTCCATGCTCTACAAGCAGTAAATATCATAAGGAAAAGGATGAAAACTCTTTTCTAAAGAATTTAATCTTGACCAGCCAGAAAGGTGCTATGAAGATCTTCAAACGCCATTTCTATTACCTCGCACAGAGCTTTTTCCTAATTTAGACAAAGTTCCATTGGGAAGGATAAAGATCCAATCCCTCCTTAGTCCTCTCTGCTTTATCCTTTAGAGCAAAACGTTACACTGGCAGTCACCCTAGTTTTGAAACACAATGACAACCTTGATGCTCAACATCAATCCCATTTTTCCTATCAGGGAAAAGTTACTTTAACATGTTATACATTATTTGTTATAACTATGTGCCTATTTAAACAAGTGTTCTGTATTGATAATTCCCATGCAAGAAAAATCCAGATGTCTTCTCAATGAAGAATTCCTGATCTTCCTTTCCATACAGATACTGCCAAAGTTACTAGACTGAAAGAAAACCTGGAATAAAAAGCAAAGGCTAAACCCCAAATAGGCCACTTACAGCTCGCTTCTGAATGAAGACTTGCGCATCCTTAAGATGATCAGCAATGTTTTTGCACAGCCTTTGACGTTCATCCTCCTTCAGCACTTTGGTATAGAAGTCTCGCACCTTAAGATTGTAAACAAAGTTTTATTTTGCAGTTCCCAAAACCAGGGTAATTAGGCACTGGAACAGGCTTCCCAGGAAACTGGTGGAATCACTGTCCTTGGAAGCATTCAGAAACTATGTAGATGAAACCCTCAGTGATATGCTTTAGTGGTGGCCTTGGCAGTCCTAAAGTAATGGTCTGACTCAATGATCTTTTCCAATCTAGTTGATTCTATGACTCTTATTATACCTGTAGCAGTCAATAATACTTAGACTTTTAAGATTTATTACTACTGAAAAAGAATAATTTTCACTTACTAGTCAGGCAACAATTAAAATACGCCAAATACTTAAACTCAAAAGACAACCAATATGTAGTGGGGTTTTGTTTCTTTTGTTTTGGCAAATCTACTAACAACTCCTTCCATTACTAGCTTGAAATAACTGTTGCTTACTGAATTAACGGAAACAAGTATTGCTGCTGTGCTGCAATTCAGGAATTGACTATCATTACACATACCCTCTAATTTGCGTATCTGCAGACACTGATCTCAAGATGACAGGCACAAACTCTAGATATTGGTGCCCAGAATAAGGATGGCAAAGGTCTGAGATTTCACTAACTGTCCTGTCAGCAAAAAAATAATCCGTTATCAAATTAAGCTGTATTGAGATCTTCCAAGGTCTCTCTGGTTAGCCCAGATGCTTCAGAGAGGAGCCACAGTTGAATGATTCTTATTATTGTTCTCTAAACCCATCCTATAAATTCATCTTATGTAAAATAGGCAATATAAAGCCTTTTCATACTTCATACCTGAGTCACATTATCTTCATTTGCACTGTTGAAGCGCTGCACATCTCCCGAAATAGACACGCGGGTCTCCTTCCACACAGGCTGATCTTCTGGACCAGTAAAACTGTTTGGGTAATAGTTTGGGGCACCACCTGAAAACAAAACCCCACAAAACCAAAACAATGAGACACCAGCTCAGATTAATTCATAAGACAGAAAATGTTCTTTGGCTAGAAGAGGCATAGCTAAAGCATATCCTTGTTTACTCTCAGGTATAAAACAGTCACTATTGGGCAGACACTGACAGAACACAGGCCGCTGAAGAGAGGCAAAGTTAAAGCTTTAGTTTTGCCTTTCACAAACTCTTGGAAATCAGACAGCAAAGCAGTTTAATAAATGTACTGAGTACATGGAAGTCAATTTTTACATGTAGAAATGCAAAGACATTTAGGCCATCTCTATTATTATTAGAATAGATTATTTTTGCCTAGAAGTAGAAACAAAGTAGTAATAATTAACTTCTGTGAAACCATTTCTCTGGCATATTTCTTCATTTTGAATAGTTAATATTGTAGAACTTTTTCAATCAAGTCCCCTGTAACAACCATGTTTCTAGAAGTTTTTAAAGCAACATAAACTAGGGACATTACTGAATTCATTTGACTGGGGGTGTTCTCCTGCAAAACCCGTTTCTCCAGAAGTCCTATTTCTAAGTTTTTAAACACGTCTTAAGCTTCACTTGGTTTTTATACCTCCATCCAAACAAAGTCTCTTTTCATGGATTAATAGAAGAGATATACACCCATTCTAAACAAGTGTGTAAGGATGACAAACATTCTACTTTCCAGGAGCCAAAAGGAATTCCTCCCTTTTACCCATTCCTTACAAAATTGAGTATTTGTAGCAAACAGAAGTTACATACATCAAACTGAAATACACTTAAGAGACTATCAACTACTTTAAACAAGGCTGAAGTTCTATAAGGAATGTCCCTGTGCTTCTTTTATAGTCTTAAAAGTTATGAAGATAATGCATTCTGTAATCTACACAAGCAAGCTTGTGTTTCACAGCAAAGTTTTGATTCTCAGTTCTTGTACAAGACTGACGAGATGTACACCAGATCCATAAATAAGGGTGATGAAGGCAATACAGCAGCATATTCAAATGCCAAGCTGCTTTCAACAAGATCCCTCAAACAGGAGATAACAGGATAAAAGTCAGTATCTTGTCAATTAGCATCATATCAAGAACATAGGAAACAGAGGAATAGAGGGTCATTCTTTGTACTAAGACAAATTAATCCGGTTGGCCCTCCTCAAGGATGTATGTGATGACTGGTACTGTTCATCACATTCCTAAAGTTACCTGAAAAGGGAGCAAATAAATTGACAGCTTAGTTTCTACAAGCTTCAACTCAGTTAAAAATCAAAGCTAGCTTTTTATACTTACACAATGTATCATGATACCAAAACACTGGATGAAAACTGCTTTCCTGAAAACAATTTTATTTCCATGTAATAACCATGGAGAACAGAAACGCATGCAACTTTATATATGCACAATTAAGGGTCCTAAGATAGGTCATTACCGATCACAAAACAGGTCTTGAATTCATTTGAATAGGTTGAAGTAAATTGCTTTCTGATTGCTGGTGAGCACCGAGTTAAAGAGAGTATTAGGAATGGTACATGGACAAACTTAAGGCAGTCTGCAGGAAAGGGCATATGGCAGATTTGTAACAACTGTAGGCAAGTCCAGCTCATCTCAGAAAGGATCTGGTAATACAAGGGAAGGTACTAAAAGGTAGACAAAGATTATGAGAGGTAAGGAACAATTTTCACATAGAAGAAAAAAACCAGACTGGGAAGTCTGAAGCTCAGGAAGTTACAGTGATGTTTCAGTCACGGGAAAAAGTCAAAACTGAATGGTTGAGGAGGAAAAAGTAGCATTTCTTACGGCATAAGTTAGTGATATCAAAAATCCCGCCTCTGTTAAACAAGCATCTTAAATTCCCTGTGAGAAGAAAAGAATTCTACAAGTACATGCATAAGATATTTTTGTTAGTACCTTGGTTGTCAGAAACGCACATTGGTCCATCCCTCTGGTAATTGGCCACACGAGCTCTGAAGGGGCAGTTCACAGGAATTTGTAGATAGTTGGGTCCCAGACGATGTCTATGAGTGTCAGGATATGAAAAGAGACGACCCTAAAACATTTATCACAAACATTAACTACTACTTGCTGAAAGACATCACCCAAGCAGTGCATATGCCAATTCAAAGCTCTATATATATTAAGCAGTAAAAGTGAAAAGACCATTTTCTTTGCATATATATATATTCCTGACATACTTCAAATTATGTCCAAAGTGGCACTGGGCCAAAAACTAACTTTGCTGGAATACCACCAAAGAGTAGCAGGCTGAGGTGTGTTCATGCAGTTTGGGTATTGCCTACCAATTTCAGAATGCTAAACCTCTTCTGAAGCAGGAAAATGGTTACATGCGTACAGATGTGACTGTAATAGTGCTAAATGTTACTAATGAATAATGTATTATTTTCCTGCTTGTTTTCAACCTTAAAGGTTGCATCTGAAATATGGGACTCCCTTATTTATCTGCTGAACTGAATCTGAATCACTTCTAGTGACATCTGTACCAAGAAAACAGACTTATTCTGACCATGAAGTTTGTGGAAGCAAAGAGGCCAACCATATGAACTGCATGACAGTTCACAAAATTATTCTGTTAAACTGTCAAAGCACCTTCTTGTTTCCATGCATGTTATTTGAAACAACAATCTGGTTTTAATCTGAAAAAATATAATGTGCAAACATCCAGGATTCTGCAGACAGTATAGACTGCAGCCAGTCTTATTACACACTTAGACCTGTAAGCAGTATGAAACTACATCTAAAGAATAGTCTTATTGATTCTATCAGGGGTTAGCTATGTCTGTACTTCAGAGCACGTGAAGTCCACTTGTGAGAGTTTGTAAGTCTAAGATATACTGTAAATGCATTAATGAATATGCATTGCTCCTTTGGTTTTATCCCATACTTCTTGCCAGACTGACAGATCTCCTCACCAACTCTGCTAGCTGCTTCAGATGCCCTCTTTAATTCTAGATTTTCCATTCCTTTAGTCTTTCCCATTCTCTTTTTTTTATTCCCATTTTGGATAAGCACATTAAGTGGTGATCATTAAAAACAACTGCCAAAAAAGTTAAAAAAAAAATATCAGTTGCTTCCCATGGGTCAGGTTTACTGCTTCTACATAAACAGGGATAGGAATACTTCAGAAACAGCAATGTAAACGCAACTCTTCAGGTGAAATCTTACATGCATTGTAGTTTACCTGCAGCATTTTGTCAGGGCTAGGTTCAATACCAGGTGGCATGTTGCTAGGATCAAATGCCATCTGTTCTACCTCTGCAAAGTAATTGACGGGATTCCTGTTCAAGACAAGCTTTCCCACAGGGATGAGGGGGTAGTCACCATGTGGCCAGATCTGCAAGACATAACACATATTATAATCAACATTATTACAGTATTATACAGCATAGTTACTAGGCAGCATTTGCCTGATTTAAGTCTTGATTAAGAAAATATGACACTAAAGAAATTAATTTTTTTGTTAAAATTGAGAAATGTTTTATTTTAAGAAGTCTTTTGCAATCAACATAAAATACTAACACAATTTATTTCACCATCCCAGCATAATCTTAGTTGCACTTGACTACTTAAATGAAATACCCAAAGGCACTTGAAAACCAGCCTAGGAATGCAATATCGTAGGTGGAACTGGTAGCATGATTGTTTTCAGCTACTTTCAAGCACAACCAGCTTAACAAGCCTTTTCTTTCCCATCTTAACTTGTACTTTCAACTTTAAAAGTCTTTAGCCATTTTGGGAGAGGAATACTAGAGGAAAAAGAAAAAAAAACAATACAAATTGACCTTGGTATCTTTCAACAAGCCAATCCTTGGAACAGCAATTCAAAGTTGGACAAAATCAGATCAACAATCAGAAACAACGTTATTAACACTCAAAACTAGAGAGCTCAGGGTATGACTACATGATCAGAGATCACACTCTTGAAGCCCAATGCAGCTGTAACCTACAGGCCTGGAATCAAGCCCTATCCATATTTCACTGAGAAAGTGACATCAGATATAACATCAATATAATTTTATCTCCAGAATTTCTGACTCATGATGAACACATAATAAAGAGTACACTTAAACAGAAGGGGAGAATAAAAAGGACAGATTAACTTTATTAAATAGTAATTAGAAGTAAATAGTATAGTAAATAGAATTAACTATTGAATTTGTAAAATATTTATATATATGAATATTTATATTTTTTATTTATTAACTAAATTATAGTATAGTAAATAGAAATAAATAGTAAATAGAAGTAAGTATTCTATTCACTCTAGAATAAAAAGGCTAGATGAACCAGCCCTTTATTTGTAGGGCTAATAAGAAAACAGTGCTACTCCATGGAAACTGCTATCCTTAATAGATAAGCTCAGGTCTGGCATTTTGATCTTACAACCTTTCTTAAACTACCTGAAATAGAATATTCACAACTGTATCACAGATACCTTAGTTAAATCAAAAGGATTAAATGGAAACTTCTCTGCTTCTTCAAACGTCATAACTTGAATGTAGAAAGACCATGATGGATAGTCCCCCTTGACAATGGCATTGTAAAGATCACGTATTCCATAATCAGGATCGGTAGAAGCCAGCCTTGCTGCTTCTTCAACAGGAAGATTTTTGATGCCCTGATCAGTCTAAAAAACAATTAAAAGCAGTAGCACCAGTTACAACAGATATCATTAACAGGAATAAACTTTAACCAGACTTATAATTAAAAAATGCAACTGTCCATGCTCTAATCTCCAATAATTTGAGTTGCAAAGAATAATACATTCAACAGCTGCCTTTCAGATAAAAAAAACAGTTCTCTGATAAAAGTGAAATAAATATGTAATGCTATACTACACAACACAACACATCAAATTTGAAGGTCTGTTCCCTGCAGCACATCAGGCAAAGAGCTTTCCCCTCACTCCTTACAGGATAGAGTGTTTCTTTACTGTCCCATCATCCCACCCTTTCCTACCTATCACATTCCAAGCAAGTGATAAAATGATTGCAACCCTCAGGGCTGAAAGTTCTGGATTCTACATGAATCTCAGTTTTCCACTCCCCACCCCATTCCTGTGACATCTTTAGTACTAACTGAAAATCTCACCATAATAAGCTTTTGACAACCTGAAGGCTAAAAGCTATACAATCCCTCTCACAATAACAGAATGGTTCAAATGAAGTCCTGCTTCAAAGGTAGATTCCAGCCTCCATCAATGTCTAATGACGTAAGAAGCTGCATGGCCTTTAAAACTTTGAAGGGAGGTTGTTTTCAAGTGAAATATGCTGGTGACTGCTTTCTCAGAAAAGGATGGAAGTCCTCTGAGGTTCCAAGAGCTTCAGCTGCAGAGCTCTTGGAAACAGAGTTTTTATATTTTGGTATACAGTCAAGGGCATGTTAAAAATCATAGAATGGTTTGGGTTGGAAAGGACTTTAAGATCACCTATTTCCAAACCCCCTGCCATTGCCAGGGAAAACCTCACACTAAACCATGCCACCCAAGGGTCTGTCCAACCTGGCCTTGAACACTGCCAGGGATGGAGCACTTGTAACTTCCTTGGGCAACCCATTCAATGTGGCTCATATCCAGAAAATAAATGGGAACAAAACCCAGATCCAGACTGAGAGAACGTTTACTTGAAGAATTTGAATCTGAACTACTATGCAGCCATGAACATGAAACAGGAACATATCACACACTGAGTAGAACACATTTCCAAAGGGTGAGAGGATTTGTGCATGTGCACCAGATGACAGCAACAGGCTTTGATGGGATGTTTTTGCACAGCATCACACCCAAAACATCTAATTCAGAGCTCAGCACGTAAGTAGACAGAGTTCTTCAATAACAAGAGACAGTTCCCCAAAGAAGTGTTCTTTAGAGTCTAGTGTCTAGAGTCTACCTACTGTGTCATAGCAGGAACACTGATGCCATTGTATTTGTTAAAAGGCATGCAACTGATACCAAATACCCCACAGACTTTTTTGATTGAGTCTATGCACTAGAAGTCTCTTGTGACTTAAACTTGACAAGTAGCAAAACATCTTTAGACAATCTATTTAACCTGTTTTGTTGATTCTGTGATTTATCCAATCTGATGTACACTTCCAATAGATAAAAGGAAAATACATCAATACCTTTGCATGGAATTTGCAGTAAACTGCTCTTCCGCTAGCATTAACCATTTTAAAAGTATGTGATCCATATCCATTCATATGGCGATAACCATCTGGAATACCACGGTCACTGAACAAGAAAGACACCTAAAGAGAAGAATCAAACAGCATTAATGGACTCACCAGATTAAGGATAAAGTGACCATTCAAGACAGAAGTTGTTTCTTGCATTAATCTGCAATTGCTGGAAGCTATCTTGATGTTATAAAATCCCCAAGGAATTTCTAGTTTAAGAGTATTAAATAAGACTGCTTTTGCACAAAGAACAATTGTGAATTAAACCTATGTGAGGTTTTATGCCCACATAAAATATTCAGTCAAGTACAAGGCATTAACCTGGTGAAAATGTTACAAATTCCCCTGCAAGCACACAGCAGGTAAGCATGAATAATTTAAGTTACAAACATAAGTGATGTTTCTTTGCAGGTTAAAGACAAAAAATCTGAAAGTTGAAGCCTTTGACAACTCCAAAGTCTTTAAGCTGTAAAAATACCACCATGCAAACATATTTAAAATGCTGATTTTCTTTAGGCTTATGGTCACAAACAATGCTTGTGGTACTACATCTGTACTGGAAGGCTTCTGTATGTACCCATTCTCTTTAAAATAAATACATACAACTGAATTTTTAATTATATATTAGCTTTTTTTTGCATAACATCTAGATACAAATACACATGAGAACAATTAGAATTCACTGTGAATTCTAGTAATTTTTTTGTTGATCTCATAAGCAACACAATATATGTCATAGCATCACTTTCCCGGTCCTTTACTGTTCTCTAACATTAACAGTTTGTTGTCATCAGTATCTCTGCTGCTTCAGTGATAGAAAACTTAGCAACTTCTCCTTCATCCCCATATAAAATATGACTGAAAATGGAAAATCCCACCCATTTCATAGAGTCATTTAAAGAAGAAAGCCTAGATACACATATTAATAGCCTTAAGCTACTGTTGGCCTTTCACCTTTATACTGTTCCCAGAAGTTTACATAGATTTCTGGATAAAACATGGAAACATGGAAAAAGAGATTAAAAAAAAATAATGCTATCATAACATGATTTTCTTAATCATACAAAAAGAAGTCAAAGGGGAAGCTTACTTGATGCAAAGACTCAGGGCGAAGACTCCAGAAGTCCCACACCATGTCTGGATCCTTCAAATGAGTCTGAGGGTTCCTCTTTTGGCTATGGATGAAGGATGGAAACTAATTTGTACAGAGAGGAGGAAAGAGAAAAAAGAAGTTCTTTTAAGACCTTCAAATTATATGGGGTATACTAAGCAATACTGGTACAAAACAAGATAACCAGTTTTTTCATTATACTTAACTATGAAAGGAACAGCACACAAAGATGAGACAGTTGTAAGATCACTGAAAAAAAACCCTACTGTCATACCTCTTCTGTAATCAAATTCATAGTGTGGTAAAGTGAAACATTTACAATTAGATTGAATAGGATGGTCAAAGCTAAAGAATGCTTTCATTTTGTGACTGATAAAATGAGAGGTAAATCTCTTCAAATTTGTATATCTGAATTCTACTGAATATCTGACTTGTAAGTGAATACTGAAATACTATAAAATGTCTGTGCAGAACTTCTCCACACAAGGAAAGCCCCCTACCTATAAAGTGCTGTTAAACTTATACTAAAAGACAAAACAAAAAAAAAATCAGATTTAATAAAGGAACTTGAAAGAAGTTTGTAAAGTGAAAAGTCTTCCCCTCCTGCAATAGTCTCTGAATGAAAAACCTGTCTACACAGCAAAACAGCCAGTTTGAACACCAGTAAAACTGGTCAGATCCGAAGTTCAAACCATGGTAACATACTTATTCACTGGCACTAGAAAACGCAACTAGAAGTGTGTTATTTGCAGTATGAAATCACGTAAGTAACCAAGCATCGGTTCTTAAATTAAGTAGCATATTTTCAAGTAAAAGCCATTCAGACCATCTAGCTAACAACAAGTTTGAGTGTGTCAAAACAACCAGTTTTGCTTTTCAGTGAAGGAAGAACCTTGGGACTCTTTCAAAGTACCTTCCTCTTTCATGCTTACTCACCAGCATTGCATCCCGAATAAAGAAGATGGGAGTATTATTTCCCACAAGATCCCAGTTACCCTCTTCTGTATAGAATTTCATTGCAAAGCCTCGAGGGTCCCGAACTGTGTCAGCTGACCCAGATTCTCCAGCTTGAAGAAACACATGAATATATGGAAGTGTTATGATAGGAAATGCATACAGATTGTAAGCCTGAAATCACAGAACTTGAGAATATGACATAAAATCCTAAAAAGATGGGGTTTATCAATGTAAGTTTTTAATATATAAGGAATTTTTGCCATATTTTCAGTAATACTTCAGGCATTGAAAGTTTCCAAAGTGAACAGACACCCACCCAAGCATCTGGGCCACAGTTAAAAGAAAGAAAAAACAAGTATATCCACTTGCGCCAATTCAGAGTGCAATTTGCATTATCAAACAGAAAAGTTAGATTGTAAGGCTGAAACATTAGTTTCTGTGCTTCAAACCCCACTGTGAAAGTTCTCACATTTGGAAGGCAGCAATCTAATTAACATGCCTAAAAAAAAAGGGAAACTCATATAGAAGAGTTGTAATCCTTTTAATTCCCCTTCTGCTTTATCCAAAACAGTCTTTTCAATGGGTAACTTTATACCAGAGCAGAAGTGCCTACTACAATACCTGAGGAAAGGTGTTCCAGAAATATACAGGAACAGTTAATGCTAAACAGTGATAAAATAACAAGATCACTCATTCTCTCATTAAGGGAATTGTGTAGTACAGAAGAGCTAGGAAGAAACACATTCAAACAGCAGAGAAAGGGAAAGTAATGATGCAACATCCTGCTGCAGCACATACAGGTCAAGCTCAGCTGCTTGTCTTGCTACAAAATTCCGTGGTCCCTTTAGTTTTGGTGACAACAGAGGAAAGAGGAAAGCTGGTAGGCTAAAACCAGCGATTCCTTAAGCCTTTTTGAACTCTCTCTGCAATACTACTTCCAGAACTGAAACCTCCTTAGGATTTCTCTTCTTTTAAATAAAGTAGTAACACATACATTTTGAAAGATCTTTTTTTACCAGACAAGATAGTGATCATAATGGATGCTTTAACTAATACAATTTAAGATTTTGCTTGTTTATGCATTCAGCTCTAATTTATTGATTTCCTTGCCTTGTACTTGCTTTACAGCATTCATCCCCAAAGCATTCCTACAGCATAAGGGATTATAGGTATTTAACTTTCAAGTGTTAACCTGCAGTACGCAACAGTTGATTATGATCCATCCAGACAAGCCTTCTGTCAGGAAAAAGTTTGCTCAGGGTGTCCTGTCTCTGGCATTCCAGATGGAAAACTATCTGCAGAAAGCTCTGACAGAAAGCTGCAGAAGGTGCTGAAGGTCTTGAAATGTAAATGAAAGTCCCAGAAGAGGAACTGATTGACAGAATGCATTTCAACTACCTTAAGTACTCAATAATAACGTAAATACTGCTGTCAGTGTAACTGCAGTACACACATAAGAAGATATGCAGTAACTCTAGAGCCTTACCAACAGTGGAGAATCGGATAGCAATCGGAGTTCTTTTTCCAATGTGTTCAAACACTTTTGCCTTGCAATACTGGGTAATATCATGAGTGACTTCAAAATAACCAAAGGCTCCTGAAGAAAAGTAAGTTAAACATATCAGATCCACATACCTGCCTTCCATTAACAGTAGATCTGCTATTCTATTGTGGTCCAACATACTTGAGTCAAAAGGAAACATGAAATATACCAGGTTAAACAGTTCATATTTTTGCACTAAAACACTATTTTCACAAAATAGGATTTACATAACACAAACTACTACCTGCTAGGTGCTCACTCTCACCTCCTTAACTGAGCATTAACAGTTCCCAACAGCAACAAAGACCTTATTTCTACTGCGCAAAATAACAAGCTAGCTTTTGAGATACTCTTCTGTCAAGATTTGTGTATTTATCTCAGAGCAAGGCAAGTATTCCTTTAATGCTGGTACACATTGCAGAATTTTGGTGTACTTGAAGTTGGATGAAACAACAAAAATTCTTCCCATCCCCACAGAGGTATTTTCCCCATGTGTATTTATATTACAAATTCAGTAACATTTTCTTCTTCTAAGGCAATACATAATAATAAAATCAGGTGCCAGTTCTACCTTACTAAGATCAATAACAAATTTTGCAATTGGTTGGTTCAGCTTAATTTAAGTGTTAGATCATAATCTTGCTTTAGCAGACACACTGAATTATAAAGACAAGAATCTCTACCAAGTTACATGCAAACAGACATTGAAATATAATTGGGTAAAGTCTTCACTTCCACAGGAAAGGAGTACTATGGAGGAACAGATTATGATTAATCTCTTATGATTAAGAGATTATGATAAATACAGTAAAAAAAAAAAAAATCTAAGGGCATTTTTTCAGTGCTTTGAGTTTTGACATCGAGCTCTTTTAAACCAGACCATACCACTTTGTTGATACAGGTTCATTTTAATCAATAATGCTAAATCATATAGAATAAAATGCAATTTATCTGTCACAATCTACAAATGTTAACTCAACTTTGCCGTCTAATTCGACATCAAGAAGTATGTGTTTTGAAACATACCTGCCCCCTTTGCATGCACAACTCTTTCAGGAATCCTCTCTCTGTCAAAATGAGCCATCTCATCAGTGAAAACAACATCTTGAACAAGAAGAGGACCACGTGGCCCTACTGTCAGGATATTAAGCTTATCCCCTACGGGGTTCCCAGCACCAGTGGTCAAGACATCTGGTTTCTGAAAGCAAGAGAGCCACTGTTACACCAGCAGAAATTAAAACTCTTCTATATTTAAGCCACACAATGTGCATCCCTATTCAACATTACATGTCATAGGACGTACTAACAAATATATAGCAAAATGACACAAGGTTCTGGAACGAGTTACAGAGAATACAAATGTCTAGCTACAGCAAAGTACTGTGTCTGGGGCTATTTACGAAGGGAAGTCCAAGTCACATATCAGCCAAAGATGTTTTCCATGGTTAAGAAATGTTACTTAAGACTGTATTTTTCTTCAAGCAAGACAGATAAAGTGCCAACTTTAAAATGGTTAAGGTTCAGTCTGTCCCCACCTCAACAGGAGAGGATGGGAAGAGAGAGCTAGAAAAGGAGTAACTGCCGGAAAGTAATGAGGGGAAAAAGGGGAAGGTGGTAATGACAGTACAGGAATGGATGCATCAGGGAAGAGCTATAGTCACACAGCATAGAGACTAAAAGGAGGTACCCATGATTCCCATTTCTCTGGAAGAGCTGTGAAAAATACAAGAGCACCTGAGAAATCATCATTCTAGACTCCTGACCCATGGAGAGACAAAGATTAGCAAAAGCCCTAAGCAGCCCTACTGCCAACAAATATCTCGTCAAAAGGACAGAAAACCGCAACTTTATTTCCTAACAGCATTACTGTCTTTAAAGAAACTGCTCAAGACATCCCATACTCATCCTTTCTCTCTCCCTTTCACACCAAGTTTCAGTTAACCCTTAAACTACTTACAGCTGCAGCATCTTGCACTATAGGAGTGACCCTCTTCAGGATAACTTCAAAAAACACCTTTGGGAACGTGCAGCATTATAATCAAGTGTACTTCCACTTTCTTAAAACAAATCACAGTAGAAAAGACGTTATCTCAATCATATATGGGGTCATTGGCTTCCCTAAGGGGACAGCCCTGTTTTACTGGGTGCTGTAGAAAATGTAGCAAGAAGGGTACATCAGCTCCAGAGACCCTGTGGTCACATAAGTCAGTCTTTCCTGGACTACACACATTGTTAAGAGCCAGGGCAATGCTCACAAAGTACTTAGACCAGAAGTTAGTACAAAGGAAAAAGAAACAAAAGGTTTGCAAGAGGGTGAGCTCAAATATCCGGGTCACAGATAATGACCAGTTAACACTAAATCCATGGTCACAGGTTGCACTGAACTGATATCCAACTGTACTATGCATACCAGCCTACTCTCTTCTCCCAGAAGGACCCATGCACCTGAACTATGGGAAATACAAGAGGCAATCCACAGAGGCAGAAGAAAGAACAATTATTCATATCCACAGCCAGAATTCTGGATGAGGCAGGATATACAGGGGGAATTGTATACACCTTTAATGCATGTACACAAATAACCACATAAAAGACATTTGACAGGGTAACTGCATTTCCAATGTGTTCTTACTAATAGGCAGTACATAATTCCGCAGTTGGCTTGAATTCCCAAAATATCTAGGTGCTTTATTCTTATTCACCACTTCTTTAGCATAAAGTTATAAGCATAAATTCAACTCCTTCAGGATGCCTGAAACCCTAAACAGCAATGAAATTTGTACAATTAAAAGAGACAACATATATCCAGGTACAAACAGGAACACTATATTCAGAAAATTACAAGGAAGTTACCACTTCAGTTTTATTTCTAAAGGAAACATCTGCTTAAATCAAAACATGCTCTAGTTTGTCAAGGGAAATATGCAAGAGTAGAAACTGTTCTCCATATCCTTCCCAATGCTCATATATCACATGCTTCCTACCTGATATTTTGCTTGGTTTTAAATGAGCCAAAGGAAACTATTCCACTGCTCACTTTGCGAAATCACCTAGTTAGACCACATGGGAACTTCTCCCATTCCATAAATATGTATGTGTTATTATGTATGCTTTTTTTCAGCTATCATTTTAAAATAGGAATTGCTTAAAAATTGGCATTACAAATTAGATTTCTGAATTGGAATTTTATTTCATATATTAAAGTAGGACACCACCACATTCAAGGAACTTTAGGGAAAAGATCATCCATTCCATGATTCAGTCAGGTAAGTGGAAATAGTCTGCTTTGAGATAATCACCCAACACAAATTAATGTTATCAGCTAATTACAACCGATAATTAATTATAATTACTTTGTTTTAATAAAAATACAAATTAATATTATCAGCTCATTATCCTGACCCATTTTCTGTATGGAGGTATGAAAGCTACAAGCAACCCATCTTGAAACCTATTCTGAGCCTCTGCTTTGAAAGGCCCCTTCTTAGAATTCAGTACAGTCTGCAGATGTTGAGCCTGTAAAGTATTCACACATCACATCAGTTTTAATTAAACTTTTCAAGTCTTTTCAGTCCAGAAACTTTTTCAGAGTTTGCTTAGGAAGAACTACTTTATTTTTAATCCAGCTTCCAGCGCTGCCAATATTTTTATTTTTATTAGTTTTGCTGGTTAAAAGCTCCAAGTTTCTCACAGACAAAACCCATGTATTAGTTTTTCTAATCATAAATTCACTGATTTTTTTCACAGTGATAACTGTCATTTAAGATGGGTAAGCTCGCTGTAACGTGATGAAAAAGAACATCTTCTACCAATGGCATCCTGGACTTCTGCATTTTCCTCTCCAACCTCTTTGTGTTATTGCTCATTACAGACATTTCCATCATTCCCACATGCTCTATGTACACAGACTCTTCTACTTCATCTTCACTCTAAGGCACCCTGTGACAAAACCCCTGTGTGCAGCTTCAGCATCATTTATTAGCTGACTACCGTAACTCCAAGAACAGCAAAGCTGGGGACCGGTAACACTTCTAACATGAGACATAGCTCTTAAGACCCCACTAGTCTATACAATGACTTTTTAAAGTCACTAATAGTTATGTCATCTTGAAGCAGCAACCAAGTTTTGCTCAGTCAACTGAGAAACACAAAAGTTACGTTGAATTAGAGCCCTGTTTATCCTGGAGTTTTCCATAAATTCTAACCAGCCCAGTACATTTAATCACACAGGGGTAGGTCTGTAACAGATATACCCACACATGTGACCTTCTTTACAAAGTCCTTGCAAGAGCTTAGTAGAAGACAGAAGGAGGGGAAGTCTGCCCATAGTCTTCAAGAAACTTTGAGTCCGATTCACCTATGCCTTTAGAATACCTGTGGCGTGATCACCTCAAGGGTATAAAAAACCCTTTGCATATTAGTTGTAAACTATGCATGCAAAATAATAATAAAGTTTTATAGAGGTACCACAGCGCTTCTCAAACCAATAGGATATACTGTTGTCTAAAACCCACTTCTCCTATAATGCTAACATTTAAGACTACTAGAAATAGTAGCTAAAACCACAACTTTTTGAAACTAAGCCTGTTAAGAAGAAAACACACAGCCTTGTGGTTCTTCAGTCTCTTTTGTGTAGCCAGACTTCTGAACATGAAGTTTTGGGTTTTTTTTAAATGGCAGCACATTGTCACTTTAGCTTCAGGATAATGGTATGTAGAGCACACGAGGCAACTTCCATCAGCATGAAGGGAGAGGAAAAAAAAAGACAGTTTTAAGAAGAATTCTCATGTTGCCTCTGGACTTGAGTTTGTTTGATGCTGTATTTTCATATGGTTGGGAGCTGCATACAGTCAAAACCTTAAAAGATAAGAACTTTTGAATCTGCATGTGTGTTTTATTACAGCCCTAACCTGTCATGACAGAAAGAAGGGAAACAAAGCCAGGAGAATTTTAGTCACAGCTGTTGTAAACACCATACATCAAAGTACATACTTCCAGGCATTACTGATACCTTGCACCTTAATACAAGTCACTTTAAAATTCTAATAAGTCCTCCCTACTCTCTATCTTCAGGTCTCATGACTCCTTATGCAACACAGTCTTTGGGTTGCCTCCCAACCTTCAAATTAACTTTGGCCTGTATTCAAATACTGCTTTGTTATAGAAAAGCCACCATCCATACAAAAAAGAGCATTACTCATGGTACAAAAAGAATATTATGACACATGCTAGAATACCACGAAGTTGCAATTCATCACTGGAAGGTAGTTTCACACAGTACCTTTTACAACCAAGGGGAAAAAAACACCGCCAAGATGACTAAGCAACTACGAACAGTGGGAACGGAGGCATCCACCTGGGGATGTGACTACTGCCACTTGTATCTTGTAAGACTGCTGCTTGTATAACCAGCAGAAAGAGGATTTCATGCTAAATACACACTTCTGTCAGAAAACACACAGCAGAAACTGACACAATGACTTTATGAAAACAACTTTTGCAGCATTTGTACATTTACCCAAATATTTTGGGGTATATCCTGCATCTTCAGAAGATTCAAGTGCCATGCTGTTGATTACATATTCTTATGATTTCAGTCAACCACTTGCCCCAAACCACATCAACCTGGCCAACAGGTCTCCACGTACTGCTGAATGCACTTTAGCTTTTATAGCATTCCCTACTTACATTTTCAGTGGGTTCTACCAATGTGACAACAGAACCGAAAACATTAATATGTTATTTGAGACGGAAAAGAAACATACATATACCGCTGCCCAGAGACCTGCCCGCTGGGGCGCAGACGAGCCCCGTTCCTCCCCAGAGGAGAGGCTGCGGGCGAGCAGAGATGCCGAAGCGGCCGTGCCAGCAGTGTTGGCCGCCCCTGCCGCTCCCGGCCAGCTGGCAGCAGCCAGTCCTTCCGCGCCCCGTTCTCCCGGGCACAGCACCAAACCCTGAGCTCCGCGTTCGGGCCGAGGGCGCCTCGTCCTCCGCCGCTGTCCCGCGGGACAACCCGAGCCCGGCTCCTCCTCCCCCGTCAGAGGACCCCCGCCCCCCCCCCGGGCTCAACACCATCCAACGCCGAAGCTCACCCGCTCCCCTCAGCGCCCATGAACAAGGCAGTGGACCCCGCAGCCCCACGGTGCCCCCACCGTCCATTACACCGCAGGCCGGACCGTTACCGCCCAGCGAGGGGAGCCGGACCGGCCGGACAGCGGGTCCAGCAGCGAGCGGGGTGCCGTCCCTCAGGCCTCACCGCGCACCAGACAAGGCGCGCAACATCCGCCCGCCGGAGCCCTGTCAGGTACCTGCGAGCCCCTCTGGCTCCGCCACTGCTTCAGCTGGTCCGAGGCGTCGTCCCGGTTGTCAGCCATTTTGCAAGCTTAGGAGACCCCCAAGACAGGAAGGGCAGCTCGGAGAGGAGCGAGCGTGGGACAACCCAGCGGGACTCTGCTCGCTACCAGCGCAGGGGCAGCCCTATTAAGGTCACCCCGCGGGGAGCCGCCACCACCACCGCGCCCTGCAGCACCCGCGGGTAGCGGGAGATACCGCACCTACAGACTCTATCTACCACAGCATTACGCCCGCCCCCCGCTACCTCCTCAGCCAATAGCACCGCGTCCAGCGCATAGCAAGAGCTATGATTGGGTGAGGGGAACGTCAATGAGGGGGTGTGAGGAGGTGCCCGCCCTCTCGGGTTGAGGGGGATGGCGGGAAGCGGGTTGAGGTGATTTAAAGTTGCTCGTGTTCGTGTGTAGTTAGGTAGCGTAAATATGTGTAAGTAACTTAATTTTTGGTGTGTGTTTTCAGTTTTGAGACGCTGGAACACAGTTGTTGGTGTGGGAGAAGTTAATCAGCGGCGTAGAAAATTACAGGATTAGGGCACCATGAAAACTGCAATTACTTAGGGAGTTTCAGGGGCAGGGTTTGTTTCAGCGGGAAAAAAAAAAAAAGTGGTTAAAATTGCAAAATCAAGGTTACCAAATGTACAGTTAAGTGTTCGCTCTTGTATTGTACCTCAGATGAGGCTCAGGTAATGCATTAAATAGTGGTCATAATTCATACATGCCTAATTGTAAACAGTATTTCTTTGGAGAGCTAAATTTGTAACCTTAAAAGAAATCCACTTCTGATTTAATAATAATACTTACTAGGTTATAGTTACAAATGATGAGGTAAATACAGTTCTGCCATTAGGCAGCTGTATCACTACAGGTGACAGAAGCAGCTTAAATGCAGTTGTTTCTCCTATTTCTGAGGTAAAACATGGCGTAAAACCCTTCAGCAACATGAACAAACTATCTGAAACTGGTTGGTTGTGTGACATTAGGCACTGGAAAGATGGATGAGGATCTCTATCTACCAGTTATTCTGTGGATTTGCACTTCAGTGTGTATTTCTGTATGGAGTTCCTGGCCCCAGACATATGCTAGAATCCTAGAATGATTTGGGTTGGAAAGGACCTTAAGATCATCCAGTTCCAACCCCCTGCCATGGGCAGGGACACCTCACACTAAACCATGTCACCCAAGGCTCTGTCCAACCTGGCCTTGAACACTGCCAGGGATGGAGCATTCACAACTTCCTTGGGCAACCCATTCCGGTGCCTCACCACCCTCACAGTAAAGAATTTCTTCCTTCTATCCAGTCTAAACTTCCCCTGTTTAAGTTTGAACCCGTTACCCCTTGTCCTATCAGTACAGTCTCTAATGAAGAGTCCATCCCCAGCATCCTTGCATGTCCCCTTCAGATACTGGAAGGTTGCTCTAAGGTCTCCATGCAGCTTCTCTTCTCCAGGCTGAACAGCCCCAACTTTCTCAGCCTATCTCCATACAGGAGGTGCTCCAGCCCCTGATCATCCTCGTGGCCTCCTCTGGACTTGTTCCAACAGTTCCATATCCTTTTTATGTTGAGGACACCAGAACTGCACACAATGCTCCAAGTGAGGTCTCAGGAGAGCAGAGTAGAGGGACAGGATCACCTCCTTGGACTTGCTGGTCACGCTCCTTTTGATGCAGCCCAAGGATACAGTTGGCTTTCTGGGCTGCGGGCGCACATTGCCATCTCATCGTATCAGATGAGAAACTGGTACAATTTCCAGATCATATTTTAGAAAACTAAAATATGCAAACCTTTCACTTTATTAATTCTTCTCTAATGACAATGACTGGGGGCAATCATAGCAGATAAACCTGTCCAAACAAACAGAAATTACCCAAATCTGGTTCGCAGAAGGCACTGGTTTATAAAAGCAACTGAGACAGCAAGTTTTGTGTGTGTGCACTGGTTTGTTTTCTTCCCCCCTGTCATTCTTTATCAAGAATCCCAGTGTGGTTCTTTGCAGAATACATATTACAACAGTGAATCACAGCAGCTCTGTTTACCCACAGCCTGTCAGAAAGAAATGAAATGGGGAAAAATGCTTATCTGCCAGAATATGTCTACATTTTTTTCTCTTAACAGATACAAAAAATAGCGTAACAGGCATTTGCTTCATCCTGGTATGTGTTACCATGTATTAAGAGTGCTATACCCTATGTATATATCTATACATAGGGTTTACTTATATACCGATGTATATCACTAACGGTATTCCTTTTCCTCAGTGGTAAGAACTCCCTTTTTTCTGCTTCAGTCTTATTTGAGACATTTCTTTCATGTCTTCAAGTCTCATAATGTTTTCTTACTCAACATGATAACCAACATTATAAAGAAGAGCAAGAAAGATAAACTGCCTGTATTTCTAATATTTTTATACTAAATATATACCATCAGGCTACCTCTACTGAAACTTCTGTGCAACCTCTGATCACTTCCACTGCATTCAGATGATCCTTGGAAAAGATAAACAGAAGTTAAGCTTTAGTTTAAATATAGTTTAGCTTGGATTTCCACAAAAAATCTAAGCAGTCTTTCTACTCATCAAGAAGCCTTTTATACTATCAGCCAAAAAAGAAAGTATCCCAGCTTCACAACAAGGTCTCAACCCACAGAAACTTTGGTTTCAAGGTGTTAGCTCCTACTTTGCAAGATAAGTTTGTAGGCCTCACTGTCAGCTGTGTCTGAGAACATTGAATGATCTTTTCAGGTACTCATTCAGACTTACATGGTGTCCTTCCATGTAGCCTTTATTTTTTAAGAGTGCATACACATTTTTTTTTAATCAAGTAATTGATATTTCAGTTTGCTTAAGCAGCAAAATGAGGGCAATGTGGACATTTTAATGAAGAGTTACTGTTTGCTTTTCCTTTAATGTTTTAACACTTCCTATCAACAAATGTGTATAGATAAACTTGTTTGCCACAAATTCATTTCAAAGTAAGAGTAACTGACAAAAACTACTTCTCTTTCATTTTTCAAAAATTCTTATTATAACTGGAAGACTAGAGGAAAGGATATATGTGTATATACATATATTTATGTGAGCATAAAAGCAAGAAGAGATTAAATATTGGCTAAGAGAATATGCCAAAAAAAAAAAAAAATCCCAGAGAGAGCAGGTAGCAATATCAATGGCATCAAGAATGTTTACACATTAGCTATACTAAAACCAAGCAACTACATTTGATAAGGGCACATACAAAGCTAAGTATGAAAAGGATACAAAAATTTTCTGTCCTCTCACCTTAATCTTCTATCTTTTCAGTGAAGAAAGCACTACTTTCTGCTTTAATACTGCTTTAAATTCATAGAATTATAGAATTGTTTGGGTTGGTAAGGACCTTAAGATCATCGAGGTCAAGCCTCCTGCCATGGGCAGGGATGCTTCACACTAGATCTTGTCACCCAAGCCTCTATCCAACCTGGGCTTGACCACTGCCAGGGATGGAGCATTTGCCACTTCCCTGGGCAACTTGTGTCACTGCTTCAGCACCCTCACAGTAAAAAACTTTTTTCCTTATCTCTAATGTGAACTGACCCTGTTTTAGTTTGAACCCATCACCCCTTGTCCTATCACTACAGTCCCTGATAAAGAGTCCCTCTCCAGCATCTTTGTAGGCCCCTTCAGACACTGGAAGCTGCTCTGAGGTCTCCATGCAGCTTCTCTTCTCCAGGCTGAACAGCCCCAGCTTTCTTAGCCTCTCTTCATAAGGGAGGTGCTCCAACCTCTGATGCCTTGCTGTGGGTGTCTTTATTCACTTCCTTCCCACCCCCCATTCTGATATTTGATTCCTGCGGCATCTTATTTGCCTGTGTAAGCCTCCTGTTATATATGCATTAAGTCAACAAACTTCAAACAATTCCAAATTAGTCACCTTTATTTACCTGGGGAGACTGGTTCTATGTTGCTGCTTGTCTTTCTGAGGCATATTCCAAACCACACTTTACCCTTAATTAAGATTTTGTGAGATTAAAAGTCAGAATACTTAGCATTTATATTTTGTTTTCCCTATTTGAAGTGAGTTTAATCACAAACTACAAGGTCAGTTTCACTTACATGCAAGCATACACACAAAATCCTGCTGAATGTAAAGTTTTCACAAAGTGATTTACACTCAAGCGAATGATGTAGAATTAGTTGAGTGGAAGGTCAGTAGCATCTGTTGCTTTGCTAATCAAGTTACATAGATACCTAAAGCTTTCATGCTACATATATCAGCCATCTCAGCTGGCTGACTTGGTACCTAACTCCTGCTTATGATTAAATCAGATTCACAAATGTTCATATGTTCTGTACAACATCTGTTGAGTGGTATGCTCACAGTACCTCTGCCACATAGCCAAAGCATTTAACTTCATCACAGAGCACTGGGGCATGACTTTTATTCTAAAGGACCAGAAAAGAGAAAAACAGGACAGAGAATGCTAATTTTTCATAGAATCATAGAATAGTTAGGGTTGGAAAGAACCTTAATTAAACTGGTTACTGCTGAGAATAAATCACAGGCTTGGGAGTCTTCATTTTTTCCCCTTCTACTAAAGATGTTCAAACTTGTATCTTCCACAGTATCCAAACTATGTATGTAGAGATGAGGCTTGGATATGTTTTCTACCTGTGCCTAGTCAGAAAGAAAAAAAAATAAAGACTCTGGTTTACATGGTAAAGGCTCACGTAATAAATATATAATTGATATTACTGAATATATTTTTCAGCCATAAAAAAGATAGATCTACTGCACCTACTCCAAATATGAAATAATATAATGAAACTATTCTCAATACTTGAAAGAATAATTGGCCTTGTTACAAATATCCAACTTCTGGATATTTACAGTACCTCAGGAACACCTTCAAATAATTTTTCCAATGACCCTTTTGCTGTCATGTCTGATGTGATCACCAGGGCACAGAAAAAGCTCTGAATAAGGAATATATACTACTATTAACAGTACACTTACATGACAGAGGATCAAAGGGGAGGTAGAGCAAGTACACTCAGAAGAAAAACAGAGAAGCATTAATAGAACAGATTAATGTTCATTGTAGCACAGTAGATGGAACACATTGGCTGCTTGATTCCAAAGTGGAAATACACACCCAAACCAATTTTATTTGTCAAACATGCAATTAGGTGGACATAAAGT